AGGAAGAATAAAAGAAATTATTATTTCGCGGTAACTTTTTTCTTACGACTTCGGTAATGTATCTCAAATTCATATAGTTGATTCTTATCACCCATTTATTCTCTTCTTATAGCCCAGGTTAATAAAGTGCCCATTATTGTCCTAGGGCAATAATGGTCAATTTATTGACCGCTGGATAATAAAGTACCTATTATTACCCAGGGGCAATAATGGTCAATTTATTGCCCATTGTTAACTCACAGGTAATGAAGAATACAAGTAAAGTGCCCATTATTGCCCTAGGACAATAAAGTACCCATTATTGCCCTAGGGTAATAAAGTACCTATTATTACCCTACGGCAATAGTGGACAATTTATTGCCTATTGTTGACTCACAGGGTAATAAAGAAATACAAGTAAAGAACAGTTATTCTTTTAAAAAAAACTTATTAAAAAGGGGTTTTCAAGTGATGATGAATGATGGTGGAAATCGAGAAGGCGGACAATTTAGCCGTTGGGCGAGGACAAAGTGATGTCTTAGGGGTTGGAAAAACAAACGGAGGTCACCACGTGCGCAATAGGATGACGGGTAGAGAGGCGGTCAACTAATATTCTCTAACAGAAACAACTTCCTCGCGAGAAGAAACAAGTCCTGAGGCTATATCCCAATGTTGCTGTCGCTACTACTACTACTACTGTTTTCACATCGCCATAATGTATATTGCCGTCGGTCAGCTGGACCTTCCCCTCCCCCCAATTTCCTCCATAAATCTTCCCTTCTTTTCTTCGTCCCAACTGGTTATCACAATATTTTGATAAATACATAAGGCGTGTTTTATGTGCTTTCTTCGCGCCATAACTCAACGATATTTATTTTGAGAAGATAGAAAAATACCGACAGCTAACTGCCTGCTAGTCAGAGCCGCACCATCGACGCCATCTGAGACCATTCGGTTTATATCGGTGTGTGTGTGAGAGTTTGAAAATCAATATTGGAAACCTGCATTGCTCTTGGATTAAGGAATTTTATCCCTGCATCAAACTCAAGTTGCAATAGTCTGATGGCGTTCGTTTTTCTGCAAAATTGCTTTTTCTTTTCTAGCTTTTTATTAAAACTACGCAGATTGAATTGAGTCATTTAAATTGATCTACTGAATGGAGAAAATAAACTGGGACCAATTTTGTTGTTTCAAATTTAATTAACCCAATTGGAAATTGACAATGTGGTTACCATGGGCTAAACAATTTGTCAATATTGGCTGCCAACAGTTTTTTTCATGGTCAAATATTGGCAACCAATAGTGGACTTGGGATGATCACGACATTGCCAAGCATTGTCAGACAATATTGGATCACGATTGGCTACCAAGGCAAATGCCGGATTTTTCAAGCCTTGGAGAACATTTTACTTAAAACTACAAATTAAATCTTTCATAACTATAAAACCTGAAGATATCGATAACTCCGAGTCTTCGACTAGGAGTGATCGATTTCTTTATGTTTTATAATAATTGAAGATGACCAATTAATAAAATCAATTACAAGAATTTTTAACTAAAATTCTTCTTTGGCAGCGTTCATAAATGATGTCACGCAATTTTTCGGGATTTTAGACCCCCCCCCCTCCCCCTGTCACGCAATTTTATGCAATTTCACATGTAAAAATACATTGTGTCACGTTTAGTAGAGACCTCTCCCCCCAAAAACGTGACATCATTTGTGAACGCTCCCTTCAAATATTGATTATTTTTCATAATTTTCGAAAAAGTTTTTTGAGAATTTTGAAATTCATTTGTTCAGAATTCAATTTTACAAAAATTCAATTATTCGTAAATTCTTTAATTAAATATATATAAAAAAATAAAAATTTTAAATAATTTTTAAAAAATCTACAATTAAACTTTCTCGAAAAAATTAATTCCACAAAATTGTTAGTTAAAAATATGAAAATTTCAGATTTTCAAAGATTATAATTTGAAACCTTTTCAAAATTCAATTATTTCTAAAAATTCACGCTCTAATGTTTTAATATTCAATTATAATCTAAAATTTTAACTAAAATCCATTTTCAAATCAATTTCAGGGTGGCCACATGTCAGTAAAGTCAATAATATCAGGAAAACAACATTTTTGTCAGTAAAATCAGGGAAATGTCAGGAAAAAATCATTTTTGTCAATAAAGTCAAGGAAATGGCAAGAAAAAAATTTTTTGTCAGGGAAATTAAGAAAATTGAGACTTTCCTCGACTTATTTTAAAAAATTGCTACTTTTTCGACTTTTCTTCTAAACATTGCAACAAAATACCACAATTTTTAGTAGAAGAAAAATGCAACAAATTTTGATTTTTATAATGCGAAAAATAACTATAAACAAATCTTTCAAAAATTGTTTTTGAATCATTTTTTCACATAAATAAATTTTTCAAATACATTTATAATAGAAATCTTTTTGAATAGTTGAAATTTTTAAAAATTTAATAGAAAATAATTAATTTATTTCAAGTATTTTGTTACAATTTTTGAAAATCAACATATGAAGAATTTTAATTGCAAATTTTGAAAATAATTGAATTATTATAAAAAATGTTAATGGAAAATCTTTAAAGGTAAATTTAAAAATGAAAATTATAGCTTCTAATTTTTTAAAATTCAATATTTTCAATATGTTTAATGACATATTTCCAAAAATTCAAATATATACAAAAATAATAGCATTTAGAATTCTTTTTAACATTTTGGAGAAAACAATCATGTTCAAAATTTTTAATTAAAACTCATCAAAAAAAATAATTAGTGTTTTTAAATTATACAAAAATTCTTTTAAGAAATTTAATTATTTTCAAAAAATTACATCAAAATATTTTTAAAAACTAATTATTAGAATTGTTATTTATAATAATTTTTGGACTTATTAAAATTTTTGGAAATCATAGTCCTGTTTATAATAAAAATTCTTCAAAAATTTAATCATTTTTATTTATATTTTTCAAAAATTCAATTATTTGTAAAAAATTAATTGATTCAGAGATGAAGTTTAGTTGGAAATTTTAGAAAATAATTAAATTCAGGAAGGGTGTGATAATTGTAATTTTTATAAATTATTAAAATTTATAAATTTTTTTTATTTCTCGCAAACATTCATATTTTCCTGTAAAAAGAATTTTGTCAGGGAATGTAATTTTAATGTCAGTTTCGATTAAAGTTGTATTAAAAATAATTGAAATTCTATAATGAGTTTTATTATTTATAAAAATAATTAAATTCCAAAAAAAAATTGTTATTATTTACCAAAAATTGAATCCCTGTATAAAGTTTATTATTTATGAAAATAATTGAATGATTGGGAAGAAAATAAAAAATTTGTAAATAATTGAATTTTTTTATAAAATTTTATTAAAACTGAGTAGATATGAAAAATTATTGAATTCAGGAAAGTTTTTGAAAATAATTGAAATTTTGTCAAGAATTTTATTAAAATTTTCTGAAAATAATTAAATTTCTGAAAAGAATGTAATTATTTTTAAAGATAATTGAAATTTTGACGAGAATTTTTTAAAATTTTTGAACATATGTAATTGAATTTTTGAGTAGAATTTTATTACTTTTGAAAATAATTGAAATTCTGTAATGAGTTTTATTATTTATAAAAATAATTAAATTCCCAAACAAAATTTTTATTATTTACCAAAAATTGAATCCCTGTAAAAAGTTTATTATTTTTGAAATAATTGAATGATTGGGAAGAAAATAAAAAATTTGTAAATAATTGAATTTTTTTTATAAAATTTTATTAAAACTGAGTAGATATTAAAATTTATTGAATTCAGGAAAGTTTTTGAAAATAATTGAAATTTTGCCAAGAATTTTATTAAAATTTTCTGAAAAGGATTGAATTTCTGAAAAGAATTTAATTATTTTTAAAGATATATGTAATTGAAATTTTGACGATAATTTTTTTAAATTTTTGCAATCATTTGTAATTTCTCTAAAATTCTCCAAATTATATCGTACAATTTACGGATTTTTCGACTTTTCTTAATCAAATAACGGACTTTATGGACCTTTTTAAAAAAAAACGGACTTTTACGGAATTTGCAAGCAAATTTACAGACCTAGTTCGAACCCTGATTAAAGTATATTGTTAAATGAATATGGTCATTAATTTTGATGTAATGGTTATTCCCTGGTTATAAATATGAAGCCAACCTTTGAAATCCAAATAAAAAAAATCGACTTTTCGTTAGAAAAATAAAACAACTTTTCTATATTTCGTTCATCCAGGGGAACTAAATAAAACCCACTATAGCAATCTCACTAATGTAATCGATCATCGATTTCACTGCGGTTTTCTTTTTTTCGAAAACCAAGTTTCGAAGGACAAAGGTTCGTCAAGCCTCTGATTTCGATAGGATTATTTAGGGATTAAACGAGGTGCGGTCAGAAATGTTGGAATAAAGTTACAGTGTCTGAATGTGGAAAAAGCAGGGTCAGTTGGTCCATATATACCCATTCTTTGGTCTTATCCCAGTGGACTTAGCAGATTAAGTGAGGCGCGGACAAGTTTGATCGAGTCTTCTAAGTCTTTCATTAAGGGGTTTCACGAAGAGGGGCAAAATTATTATTATACGGTAAGAAGGAACCCCGTCTTGTTTGCCAAACGAGGGGGTAAATGAAGGAATCAGAAAAAGGGGTTGAATCCTTCATTTCCCTCTCTATACATACTATATTAAGAACCACGACTGGTTTACTTTTCGTTCTGGGACAGTGTGAATCATCAACTTTCAGATAAACTGAATTCATCCCGAAAAAGAATCGAATCGAGTCGAGTCGATAAACTTCCAAACTCATCACCCCTTTTCTCTTGATTGGAAAACGAAAAATTGGATGATTGGGGTTCATTACGAAAGGGTTTTCATCTCCTCTAATATAAACCGAAATCATCATTATTATTTCTTTTATTGATAGGAAAAGAATCTAATTTCATGAAAACTATATATGAAAAATTATTTTTTCTGTTACAGGATCAAATCGAGTAAGATCATCAGCTTCTTTGGCAGTTGATATATTTGAACAGCATCAAGGTACCCATATACTTCAGGTGAGTTGAAATTGATAAGAAAAATTGCATTCTCTCGATTTGTTGAAACTTTAATCTTGAATTATATACGATTGTTTCCAATCATTTAAATTCCCTACACGTCTGATGGTTGTATGACTCTGCATTTTTAGTTTTACCAGGAAGTTTTTCCCTTCCCTAATCCCATCGATCTATCACACGTTCCGCGAATTGTTGTTTTTTTCTATTTTCTGCAAAATGATAAAACCGCGAATTCTCATTTCAGTCGCTGGACGGCTTCGCGATGGCTGTGGCGGCAGATGGACGATTTCTCTACATTTCTGAAACGGTCTCAATTTACCTCGGTCTTTCTCAGGTGAGTGTCTACATGTTATCTCCATCTCGCTTGACTAAAGGGGTTGAAGGGTGGGTGATGAGATCAGAGAAACAGTCTATATAGTCGGTTCATCTATCTATAGAGTTTCTTTATAGAAGAGGATGAAAGAGAGAAAGAGAGAAGTAAAGGGGAGGTCGAAATGAAGCAGAGGCGCATAAGACAGTACGTGCCACCCTCGCATGCACGTATGTGTGAGTGGGGAGACAAGTTCTGAGTGGCCAAAGGTGGAAAAGAGAGATGGAGGAATGTTGACTGAGAAGGAAAGAATAAAGTCTCATGGAAACAAGGAAAGAGGTTTAGAGAGAGTATGAAAAAAGGGGTGTGGGAGAGAGAGAGAGGAGAGACAGGAAAAAGGGGGGAGAGAGAGAGAGAGAGGTCAAGGGAGGAAAAGAGGAGAAGGTTGTGTGAGTTGGCGGCCATACTGGCTGGCACCAAGCATGACATGAACAGGGGGATGGGGGCAGAAGAGAGAGGCGGGGGTGGTAGCATGCCGCTCACGTAGACTCTGCACGGCGGCGTGTTCGCCATTCCTAATGCCGCGACTGAAGGTGGACGGGGAGAGAAAACCAATGGGTGAAAGAGGGACAGAGCGAAGCAGTACGCTGGATAGCAAGAGGGAGTGGGTGGGTGGGGGTCCCGGGTACCAGCACGGTTCCGCGAGACCCGTTGAGGCAATCAATAGGGTGTTTCGGGGATTCTGGAAACTGGCGGCGTCGTTGCCACAAACATGGCGTCCGCTACCTTCTGCACTTCTATAATTCCATAAAAGCCATTTCTAAAAATCCATCAGCATCATTCACAATAACCTAAATATTTATCCCTAAAACACTTCTTCTTTCTTAATCTAATTATACTTCTATAACAGAGAGAAGAAACCGTTAGGTTTCTGCTCTCTGTTATAGAAGTATATGATGACTATAATTCAAATCCCGAAAATGCCATTTTTCAAAAATATTCTTACTCTCGGAAAATTTGATTACAAAATCGCATCATTCATCACTTCTTAATCATAGAATTTAAATCAGAATTTGAACTTTGAGTACTTGGTATTCAGGTGACAATGTAAGCTTCAAGGATTTAGTTACTTGCGAGTGTTAGGGAAATTCACCTAATGGGAGCATCAAACGTGTCCTTCTGCTTCTAATGAATTTTCTTTCTCAATTGTTCTTGCTGCTGGTGAATCATCAAGAAACAATTGAACCTTATTTAAGAATCCTCAATAATCCACTGTTGAAAAATTTAATTATCAAATCACAACGCTGAGAAATACTCAGCGTAAAAAATACACTGCGAAGATACACAGTAAAACGAAAAAACCAAATGGGAAACCTTTCCAAAATGGTAAATAGTGATACTGGGAAAATGAGCGTAAAACTTTATTAGTCCATTTATTAAAATGAAAAATTCAGAAATTTCCTCTATTCTGATAAGAGTGATATGAAAGATTTTGTACCATGTCAAAATGCAAGGCCATAAAGAGTCTAAAGTGAGTTTTTATGGGCCGCTATTGGGACCGTCATTACGTTTATGTCTGCTTCATAGCATATAAAAAAGAGGCTATTCCCGCTTGAAATGCCTCATAATCTCCTGGAAGAGAGTCTTTCGGAAAACTTAACAACCGTTTCTATTTGAGTCATAAAAAGCTAAGAAGCAGGAAAATTAAAACACTTTTATTTAGAATGCATTCCAAATTATTTCATATAATAACAGTTACTATCAATATCAATTCGATCTAAATCAATGTTACCGAACAGAAACTATTTTGTTTGCATTTCGTTAATTTTTACAAAAAGTATAATGGCAACCTTATATTTTTGCAACCTCGTATAATTCAAAGTTAAAAACTTCTTCTTCAAAATTAAACAAAAATAATCGATACACGAAAGAAATAAAAGATTACAAAACTAACGAAACCTATAAAATTGGTTAACTTTTTTTTTTAAATCAAACAGCTAATCGATAATTCGAGACTCGCAACTTGTTATTGAGTAACGTGGAGAGTTTTTTATCCAGAAGCAAATGCTCGGTCATAAACATGTCCTCAGCACCCATCACCCACACGTCACCAATAGAAAACGTTTTTGGAATAAATTATGAAGAGAGAAAAAAATATAGCTGTACCTTAACTCTCCAAATGGACATACACTATATAGTCTAAAAACTATGGCATGTATCGTGCAAAGTACATTGATGCCAATATATTATCATCATACACTCTAATGCACGTGTGTGTTTAAAATTATACACGTACAGTGTGTTCGAAGAATCGATGTACGAGGTCACGAAATTCATAGACTGGGAGAGCCGATGAAGGAAGTCGCCAACCTGACTCCTAACAAGGTCTACGTGCACCAACATCATTATATCGTTATACATTTATACACATCTCTACAGTTTCAATCCTAATTATACATATATGTCCGCATAGCTGTAATGAACAATTATTTCGTTTCTTCAACTCATCATTCATGATTCTTGAAGGAAAATTGTTGAAATTATAAATTCACTTATACGACTTTGATTTCGATCTGTAGATTTAATTAACTATGCTTTTTCAGAAATTTAGAAGAAAGAACCGAACAGATCTCACTGACTCAATGTAGGGAATACATTATGGCTCTTTTTTACTTCTAAAGAATTTTTTGTAGAATCACACTTGTTAAAATCTAATCCTCTCTTTATATTTATTTAAAGCTTTTTTGAAGAAAAGGGACTAATCAGAGTTTTGTTTGATTTTCAGGTGGAAATGACAGGTTCGAGTGTATTCGATTACGTACATCGGGAGGATCATGCTGAGGTTGCAGAGCAACTTGGACTCGGCCTAACCTCGCCATCCAATTCGTCAGCGCCTCACTCCTCGAGTTCTGGATTAGCTTCGCCCAGCAGTGGAGCATCGGAAGAACACGGTTCGTCATCCACAGCAAACCCTGACGGTATTTACACGCAATGAAAGAGATGCATCTGCATTATTAAAAAACCAGACTATACTTCTATTTTCGATTGCCAATCAATAAATAGATTCCAAAAAATGTAAACACGCTTTTTAAGAACAAAGTACACAATGCAGATGAATCAAAGAAAGTAAAGAGCCCAGTGCCAACTCTATTTAGAAATGAAAAGAAGATGAATGAGTAGGAGACCAAAATGATAATTGTGGATACATTGTCGCGGATAATCGTACAATGTTCGTGCAGGTCTTTGGTTACAAGTTGCAAGTCGAATGTAGAGTATACGTAGGGGGCCATTGTACGTGCCCACGTGGAGATGATCGTCGTGGAATAACAATTGGGAAATCGCGGGGGTTGCATACAGTATGCGACGGCGGTGGTGGCAGTCGTGGCAAACGAAACGGCATCACCATCCACACCCCTGCGTCTACATCAGGGCGCGTCCGATGACCCGACCATGAACCAACCCGTGTAGTAAGGCGAGAGAGCGAGCTGCTCCTCACTTCGAAACCTCCAACCAACCCTCTTTTCCAAGCCTGTCACGGACGCCCTCTCTCGTTCGAAATCCACGTGGTGCGGTCGACGGGCACGTCCGCCGGCCGCACGTCCACCACCTCACGTGATCATACACACCCGCACCTCTATACTCAACCATCTTTCCTACAATTTCCCCGGACCCGATTTCAACGCAGGCTCGCTCTACTTCGGCTTGGTCACGGTTTTCAGGTTACACGTTCTCATTCAAGGTTCGTCTGCACGCGCTAGCTTTGCTCACGCGGACTTCCGATCAGTTATACACACGGGCGTGACCAAAAATGGCAAGAACCCTATTTCGAAACACTTGTTCACCACTGTGTGTTCTAGTGTATTATCCAATCCATCAGGGTCTCGTCCTAATGGATGTTCATCTTAACAGAGTTCTAGCTCTCTCTTTGGACTTAACAGAGTTCTCCAAAGTTCTCCAAACTTCTCTTTACTGTTCTCCAGAGTTGTGCACGGAACAACTTTGCCGAAGATCCTAAAGATAGAGATGCTGCGCACTAAAGGCTCTTGAGATTTAGAAGAAGTTTATACGGACAAAAATGAATATTCACCACATTGAAAAATCATTCATCATTAGACTGAATTTTCCATATTATTAAACATTTGGACATTATTCACTTTTTTCCGTATAAAAATTTCTCTCAGATTATGTGTTTTATGTAACAACTCCATTAGCATTTTAAGTTGAATAATTATGTAATACTATTTTATAATAAAGCATTGTAAAAATCAAGTCTTGTTCCGCGCTCTCTTAATAATAGTAAAATGTCGGATAATTTCGAATTATATCATTCTTATTAAAATTAATTTAAGATAACATTATGATAACTTTTAAGAATCTACTTATTTACATAATGCGAATTATGAAATTTTGTACCTCTTATAGTCTGGACTGCAACTGGTACAATGAGTTTGATACATTTACAATCCAGCTTTTAAATATGATACAAATCATAACATTACAATCATTAAATAAAATAAAAATTCTCTAATTTGTTACTACAGGGTTTCTACAAATTTTTCCTTTTAAAATTTCATGATTTTGATACTTTTTTTTGTCTCAATTTGATATCCTTAGAAAAACTATGTGATTATATAAATCATAACCGTGCTCAGGAATATATTCTAATTTCAAATTAAACTATTTTTACAACAAGTGACTCAAGACTTAATTTTTGCAGTGATAAAAATGATTGAACGATTTAATTCAAAAGTGAATTATAATAGAAATATTTCTTTCTTTCAGTTTCATCAATAATGGCGTTATCTTCTAGTGGTCTTTACAAAGGTTACGATAGAGCATTTTGTGTCAGGATGAAATCGACACTTACGAAGAGAGGATGTCATTTTAAGTCTTCCGGCTACAGAGTAAGTTTTATGAATATACTGTAAAGAGACTGCGACCCAATAAACCTATTTTGATATTAAAGTACAATATCCATGTAAATATTCTTTGATTAAAATTTTCAATGCAAAATTTAATATACGATATTCAAAACACATATTCAACATTTCAAACATTTAATAATATTCAAATATATTCATATACCATCAATATATTTTATTATTTACTAGAATATTCAAAATTCTGTTCAATCATAATAAAAATATTATTGAATGTCATTCAAAATATTAATGTATAACATTCGAAATATTAGTGAATAAAATATTGAATAATTTTAAATATTATTAACTTTCAAAATACTATATTGAAATAATGCAAATATTATTCAAAAACAAATTCACGGTTGCAATAAATGAAAGCACAGTTTTCTTGAAAGTATATCAAATTAATACTAATGGGGCCATTCACATATTACGTCACACTATTTTTGGTCCTCCCCCATGTCACACTCTATTACATACATTAGCGCCATTTTCTCTGCAGGGTGTCACAAATTGTTTGACCCCCCACCCTTCCCCTTAGAGTGTGACGTAATATGTGGATGACCCCTAAAGTGGATCATATTGAAGCCAAAAATTTGAATCAATTTTTTATTTGATGCACATTTTTGGTATCAATTCGTTGCAATTTGATATACTTTTAAGTTTTGAGTATAAAGCATTGCTAAACTTTTAATAAACAACTTCTATAGTCAAGTTTTGGGTTTAATGTTCGAAACGAAACATATAAATTTATAGAAAGACATTATTATAAATCTACTCTGGTTTTCTCTAAATCCAGGTGGTTTTATTACTCTGCCGTTTGAGGCCACAATTCACATTCAGTCATTCGAGAAAATCTACTCCGCCATTAATGGGAATGGTTGGCCTGGCGATTGCCCTGCCACCGCCCAGTGTACATGAAATCAGACTAGAAACCGACATGTTCGTCACGCGAATTAATTTCGACTTCAGGATAGCACATTGTGAACCAAAGTAAGATTCCTAATTCTTTAAAATTTCACCAAAAAATAAAAAAAAACAATTCAAAAACTGGGCTATAAATAAAAATTTCCTCCAGGGTATCAGAACTACTGGACTACACTGCTGATGAACTGACGGGAATGAACCTCTACAAACTCTGTCATGGAGAAGATGCAAATCGACTGAGGAATTCCCACAGTGACCGTAAGCGAACTTTTACCTTATATTGTACTTTTTACTTTGACCTTATTGCATCAAAGCTTTTGGGTATTTAAAAACTAGAGAGTCTTAATCAATCCGACTCGAATCCAACACAGAACACACCGCATGATCCATAAGGATATACAATATATGAAGGAAAAGGGAGTCGTAAATTCAAAAATTCTCGATATTGTAAACGTTTTTGTCGTAAAGCTACCGTTCTCGTTGGATATCGTCGTTTCCCGCATACAAGTATAGGAGTCACGTGCCTTGCCTTTACGCCTGTGTTCCGGCACGGATACAGCCGGGATTAGGTAGTTGGTATGCAGAAAGCGTCAAGCTACGCCGGATGCGGCATCTCCAGCGAGTTGTTACCTTCTCCCTCAACTTTGTTTCCCTCTTCCCTGCCTCCGTTTAAGTTCCCATTCTACCCGCACTGGGAGGCAGCTCCCAGTAGTAGCTTCAGTGGTGACAGGTGGAGGGGAATAAGAAAGGTGGGCTCTCTTGTACCCACGCCAGCGCACCCCTTTTCCATTCCCTTCAATCCTCTCATCCACAACTTATACTCTCCGTATTCCAAACCCTCACTTTGTCAAATGCCACCCACCCCCCTCCTCCTACCTCACCTTATTCCTATGGAACCGAGTCACGCCGTTAAAGTATCCCAGGAACTTTTCCCAAAAGTTTATTAACTTCTTGAAGCTGATACTATAATCCCTGGTATACATAAATGGAGGAATATATGTAAACTTCAGGAATATATGTACCAGATATGAAAGTAGTTTTTTTCTTGATAAAGGGGCATAAATATAAACTCTTGAAAAGTATTCGAATACCTTTTTTAATACCAAAATCAGGGTGGTCACAAATTTCAGTTTATCAATTTCCCTGACAATTTACTGACATTAAAATTATTTTGCCTGACAAAATTCTTTTTACAGGAAAATATGAATGTTTACGGAAAATGAGTAAAATTTACGAATTTGAATAATTTCTAATTTTCTACGCGGAGAAAAATATAAAGTAACTTTTACTACTTTTATAGTAAAATATTTCCGGTAACATTTACTACTTTTGGAGTAAATTTTTGCTACGTTCGAAGTAAATTTTACAACGTTCAAAGAACATATTTGTAAAATAGTAACATTTACTTTGAACATAGGAAAATTTACTCCGAAAGTATTAGTAAAAGTTACAAGAAATGTTTTACTATAAAAGTATAGTAAAAGTTACTTTATATTATTCTCCGTGTAAAAATTACAATTTTAACCCTTCCTAAATTCAATTATTTTCTACAATCTTCAACAAAACTTCATCTCTAAATCAATTAATTTAAATGGTACCTAAACAATTTTATAAAATTCTCGTCAAAATTTCAATTATCTTTTGAAATAATTAAATTCTTCTCCGAAATTCAATTATTTTCAAAAATTTTAATAAAATTTTTGGCAAAATTTCAATTATTTTCAAAAAATTTCCTCAATTCAATGATTTTTAGTATCTACTCAGTTTTAATAAAATTTTCTAAAAGAATTCAATTATTTACAAATTTTTTATAAATTTCTTCCCAATCATTCAATTATTATCTAAATAATAAAATTTTTACAAGGATTCAATTATTTTCGTAAATAATAAAATTCTTTTCTGGAATTCAATTATTTTTATAAATAATAAAACTCATTACGCTATTTTAATTATTTTTAATACAACTTTAATCAAATTCCTCGAAAAATGTAATTATTCTTAAAAATTTTATTAAAATTTGTCAAAAGAATTCAATTATTTAAAAATTTATTGAGAAAATTCTTTATGAAAATTCAATTTTAAGAAACATGCAATTATTCAGTACATTGTTTTTTTTGTATTTAAATAATTGAATTCTAGTAGAATTTTCTAATAAAAATTCAGGGTGGTCAAAAATTTCAGTTTATCAACTTCCCTGTAATTTTCCTGACAATTTACTGACATTAAAATTACTTTCCCTGACAAAATTCTTTTTTACAGGAAAATATGAATGTTTACGGGAAATGAGTTGAATTTATGAATTTTAATAATTTCTAAAAATTACAATTATAACCCTTCCTAAATTCAATTATTTTCTACAATTTTCAACTAAGCTTCATCTCTAAATAAATTAATTTAAATAATTTTGCAAAACTTCTTCCAGAATTCAATTATATTTTAAATTAATTTTTGAAAGATAAAAGTTTTTCAATTTTGAAAAATTTCCAAACAATTAAATATTAATATTAAATTAATATTAAATATTAATTAAATTAATATTCAATTATTATCTAATAAAATTTCTACTGAAATTAATTTTTAAATCAATTTTTATTAGAAAATTCTACTTACTAGAATTCAATTATTTGAATACAAAAATAATTAATTTATTGAATAATTGAATGTTTCTTAAAATTGAATTCTCATAAAGAATTTTATCAACAAAATTTTAAATAATTGAATTCTTTTGACGAATTTTAATAAAATCTTTAAGAATAATTACATTTTTCGAGAAATTCGATAAAAATTGTATTAAAAATTATTGAAATCCTGCGATGAGTGAAAATAAAAAATTTAATTATGTTAAAAAATGATTCAAAAACAATTTCTGAAAGATTTGTTTACAGTAATTTTTCGCATTATAAAAATCAAAATAAGTTGCACCTTTTTACTAAAAATTGTTGTATTTTGTTGCAATATTTGGAAGAAAAGTCGAAAAAGTCAAAGTTTTTTAAAATAAGTCAAAAAAAAGTCTCAATTTTCTTAATTTCCCTGACAAAAATTTACTGAAAAAAAAATTTTTTTCTGCTATTTCCCAGAGTTTACTGACTTTACTGACATGTTAATTATTATTAATAAATTAAATTAATAATAAGGGAAAAATTTTAAAAATATTTACAAATTTAACATAATTAAATTCTTCAAATGTGTCGCGCATTTATAGAAGAATTTTAGTTAAAAACACGAGAAAAAAATTTAAATCATTAATTAAATTAAATTTGAATTATTAAATTAATTTTTTTCTGATTTCAGTAATCAAGAAAGGTCAAGTCCTAACTCACTATTATCGACTAATGAACAAGAGCGGTGGTTACACCTGGTTACAAACGTGTGCAACAGTGGTTTGCAATTCAAAAAATGCAGAGGAGCAGAATATCATTTGCGTCAACTATGTCATCAGGTGTGTGTATATAATATACAAAATGTCAAGATTACAACTTTTGATACATATGTTTTGAAATAGATTTATGCAAATTTTTCCAGTCCGATCATGATCCTCGACCTCCTTTGAATCCCTTTCTCCTTTTCCATAAAACTCGACATATACTAAAAACCACTATAATACAACATAATTTAGATTTTAACTCGTCATTCTACAAAGCGATAAAAAAGAGAATACGACAATATTTTATGCTGAAAGATCTTTTTTTTATTTCTGCCTTACAGTGGCCGTGAATATGAGAACCTAATTATGGACTGTTGTCAACTCGAGAGCGGTGTTACGGGTGTTAAAAGGGAGGACGCTGCCGGTAATGACCCTGAGAATGGTTCACCAGATGCTGATCGAGGAGGTGCGATTATTTATCTTTAATATATTATTTAAAGCAGAGGAACAACTTTTCTTTAAAAGTCAAATTTAGATTTAGAGAAAATTTAGAGAACAAGTTTTTCTATATCTTCTTTTAAATTCTATAACAAATCTCTAATTCTCTAAATATTCTTCAAATAATCCCTTTTCAGAAAGAGAGAAAAAAAAAATTGTATATACATATTACACTTGACACGTGAAATATTTCAACTAATTTAGAAGAGTTTGTCACATAAATACACCCATCATTACCGAGTGTTGACAAGGATTGATTTAGAAAAAAATATCTACAAAAGCAACAAAACTTTTCAAATAGACAAATTGTCCGGTAAACAGTATATCCGACATAACTAAATCGTCCTTTTGAGACCTCTATAGAACATATTGATCCCCGTGGTAAAATACATTGACGCAAGAAACGCTGCTGGTAGTTCGTTGAGGCGGCAACATTCCTATTTTGTCACGCTCTCGAAAACGTTAAACGGAATTGAGCGAGACAGAATGGAACGGAACGCATTCAAGGCGTCAATTTTAACATAATATACAATAAAGAGGAGAAAAAGAGTCACAAGAAGTCGCCATATAGATATACAGTGTAAACGCGTTAAATCGAGTACCTCCAACATCTTCTCATTCTCACCTTTCCGTTCATATCGACAATGCACTTGTCCTCTAGATCAATTGCATTATTTCCATAATAAAGAAAATTCGTAACGGAAAATAATACTATCATCATTCCTCTTTTTCTTCATGAAAATTTCTAGCAAATGATAAAATTATCCTAATTTGAAAAATTCCCCTTTTTAAAAAGACTTCTTTTTGGAATTATTTTTTAAATTTCTTTTCAAGTTCTTTTGAATTTCTTTCGAATTTCTTTTTTTAATAATACATGCATCACAGAACCTTTTTCCCTCAAAAAAGATGAAACGGGGAATTTTTTTCATCAGGGGACAAAAATTTATTTGTTTATACAACTTGCATATAAAATTCAAGTTTTTTATCATATAGCTTTTATACATTTTTTTAAAAATGATTCGATTTTAATCAGAGTTGCCACAAAAATTTAATTTTGTTGTTCCCTGACTTTTCCCTGATTTCAAGACAAAATTTTGACTTTTTTCCTAAAGAATATTCTGCGATTCACTCTAAAAATAATTGAATACTCAAAAAAATGTTCTATTACATTTATTTACGAATTTCTTTAACTGTAAAACTATTCGAAAACAGCAATAACTTCTATTTTAAAAAACTATTTAATCATTATTTTTCCATAGGAATTAAGATTTTCAAAACATTCAAATTCAAATCTTTTTAAAATTCAACAATTTATGAGAATATTATTACAAAACATGAAGAAAGTCATCACTCCGAGTCTTCGACTCGAAGTCATCACTTTCTTCATGTTTTATAATAATTAAAGACGACCCAGTGATAAGATCATTATTTTCTACTATAAGAAATATTTTTACTGCAATTTCTTCAAAATTATTTACATCATTTCAATTCAATTATTATTTTCTAGAATTTTTAACTAAAATTCTTCTTTAAATCAATTATTTACAATAACTTTTTAATAAGTTCTGAGAATTTTCAAATGTATTTGTTTACAATTCAATGTTATGAAATTTCATCGATTATTAGGAAATTCTTTAATTAAACACGTAATTGAAAATAAAAACTGGAAATAATTTTTTTAAAAATTCAATTAAACTTTTTCAAAAAAATTAATTTTACAGAATTATTATAGTTAAAAATATGAAGAATTCAAATTATCAAAGATTTTAAATTGAAACCTTTTCAAAATACAATTATTTCTAAAAATTCACGATATAACGCTTTTAATATTCAATTATTATTATTATTTATTGTAACTGAAATTCATTTTTAAATAAATGTGACGCGACCCCAAGAAAGGTACCTAAGAAGCAAACGAATTATAGGTTGGGTTCGAGTTAGATTTATCTTGATTAAAAGTTCATTTTTAATTATTTGAATTTGAAACCAATATTCATTAAATATTTTGAATATAATAAAGACTTGAAGACCAACAATTTTTAATTATTAATTGATTCTCTTTCTGTATTTTTACTCAAAAGATTTAAAACATAACCTCAAATTTTTTCCTTCTTAGGTACCTTTCTTCGGGTCGCGTCACAAATTTTCATCAGAAAATTATACGAAAATTTAATTATTTAAATACAAAAATAAATAATTTATTGAATAATTGAATTCTCATAAAAAATTTTATCAACAAATTTTTTAATAATTCAATTCTTTTGAAGAATTTTAATAAAATTTTTTTTAATAATTCAATTCTTTTGACAAATTTTAATAAAATAGTAAATGTTGAAAATCATTTAATTGAGAGAAATTTTTTTAAATAATTGAAATTTTGACAAGCATTTTATTGAAATTTTTGAAAATAATTGAATTTTGAAGAAGAATTTTATTATTTTTAAAAATAATTGAAATTTTGCCAAGAATTTTATTCAAATTTTTGAAAATATTTGAATTTTGAAGAAGAATTTTATAATTTATAAAGAGAATTGAAATTTTGACGAGAATTTCTTTAAATTTTCGAATATAATTGAATTTCTCAGAAGAATTATTTTATTACTTTTCAAAATAATTGAACTTTGGCATTCATTTGAAACTTCTCCAAAATTCAAATTTTTTTTAGTGTTTCTAACTAAAATTTCTGGTTAATTTCTTTATTTTTAATAATTAATTAAATATATAATATAATTATAAAATTTAACTGATTTCAGAATAATTCAAATTTTGAAAATGTTTGCAAAAATTTAAGTTCTTTAGAATTTTTAATGAAATTCATTCAAAATTGAAATTTTATAAAATTTGTAATTAAAATGTTTTGAAGTTCATGTATTTTATAATTTTATGATAGTTCTTCAAGAACTAACAATAAGTTATTTAAAAAGAAATTATTGTCAGAAATGGAAAAAATTGAAGGTTTTGTATAAGAATTTTTGTTTTTCTAGAAAAAACTATTAATAATAATATTTGAATTATTTAAATGTTAATTAATTATTTTTCTAAAGGTCTGCATTCTGTTGAATGAACTATACCTTATAATTTATAAAATTCTTTACGATATCTATATTATTTAAATAATTAACATAAAAAAACATATTTATATTATATTGTGGTGTTAATAATCTAAATCAAAAATAAAACTCACTGAATTCTATAACATTGAGTCTAAATTTTATCATTACACTTTGAAAAAGATTTCAAAAAAAGAAAAACTTGTTTATCTTTGATTAGAAAAAGGTGAAAAAGAGAACAAATCATCAAAAGGGGGGAAAAGGTGACAAATCGTCAAAAAAGGTGATAAAATTGAAATAAGGGGACAAAAAGGGAAAAGCGGACCAACTGTGATGCCTGATACTAACAATTTCTACATACAGAACAAAAAGACTTATTTTTACATTGACTTTTCTTTACAGAAGGTCGAAGTAGCGGTGGTCCAGCGACTAATCAACATTCCGAGCATTCACATCATTCGCCCACTGATGACAAGGAGGACACTCGTGGTTCAGAGGGTGAGACCCGAGGTGGACGACATCATGACAATGTAACCCAACTTCAGCAAGAGAGCCAGACGGTCAATTCTCTTGGAGGGAAAATGAGGGCCAGTAAACGAAAATTGGTTCCTCAGGAAGAAGAGACGAGTTCGGGTGAGGACGAAGAGGAAGATGAGGAATCAATATCAAAGACTCCAAATGGAAGAAATCATGCACTTAGTCCAGCATCATCGAATCATTCACTCTCGACATCGGAGCAAGTTCTTCGGGCAACGAGTCCAAAAACTCGTCGCACCGAAATACGACCGGAATCATCAGAGAATGCATCGGGTGTGAGTGCATCGGTTAAGGACATTGAGCAGGCAATGTCGAAACACCTGCCCGGAGCATCTCTCACTAAACCAGATTCACCAGCTATGCATCAACCCACAGATTTTAGTACGGACGCGTTATTGAAGCAACAACAGCAGAGGAGTACAATACAGTGGATTGGTGCGCACCACCATCTGGGACATCCGAGTTCTCAACAATCGAGTGCCCCTTCTCTTCCCGCTTCGGCACTTTTGAGGCATCTTTATGCAACGAACAGGGAGAGCGTGATACGTGCCAATGTACAGGTAATTGATTCTTTCCTTACTTTTCATAAAAATACACTGAAGCTTTACTTATTTTAACCAGAGGTCCTCATAAATCGACAGGCAGAGTCGCACTTATTATTTGACTCTCTGAGACGTAATATTCGAGTTGATTTTATTGGTGGATCCTTTAACTTCAACGGAGAACCTTTTAAGTTAAAATAAGTGAAACTGGAAATTATTAAAATAACTGAGACTTTAAATAAGTGAAGCTCCAGTGTATAGATCAATCCTCAAATTCAGGGCTCGAACCTTTCTTAATCAAATTACGGACTTTACGGACCACTTTAAAAAAAATGACTTTTACGGACCTTTACGGGATTTACGGGGACCCAGTTCGAGCACTGCAAATTACGCACTATCTGTGTTTGAAAATTTAATATTTAATTATTGAAACAAAATTTCCACAGGGCATAACGTCGAGCGGAACGCGAACACCATCATCAGGCGGTGGATATTACACGGAAACGGCCCAAACAGGACCTCTACCAACCCCACCAGGCTCTGAGGGTTCCTCAACCTATGGCGAGCACCAATTCGTCTTGGCAGCTCACAACCAAAAGGGCTCAACAAGCAACTCCGATGCATTCACAAGTCTCGTCTCTTCCTACTCGTCAGCGAGTGGTTATGCGGTTGACTATCATTCCGCAATGACACCACCGTCATCGGTATCGCCACGCGACAAACAACAGCAACAACAACAACAATTGCACTCGGCAAGTGTTGTCAGTAGTTATGAATCGACAATTTACGGTGATCCGGTATTAAGGCATCAATATGAACCTGCACAACCACTACCTCTAAAACCACAGGTCTATTCCGCCGCTGTTCATCCAACAGCATTGGACGCAGCGGCGGCCTACGCTTCAGCGAGTCTCGGCGAACAACCACAATTCTATCATCATCCGGCAGCTGGTCCCGGCTTTCATTTGTATCATCCGACAAATAAGACTGCATCGAATAGCTGGTACAGCTCAGCCTCTTAGTAGTTTCGTCCACAAGAACGGCTCGTACTTAATAATTTTAATTATAACTAATTCTATTGAATCCAAAGTCCTTTTTGAGCATATCATTTTTAAATCAACACGAGAGAGAGAGAGAGAGAGAGATGGAATCATTGTGGCAAAATAAGAGGGGCATTCAATGTCCCATTAATGCCGATATCAAGTAGACATTCGTTGTATTATAATAATAACTAAGTTATTAATTAGATGTGCGAAGGAATCCGATGAGTCAGTTTAGAAAACAATGATTCGCGATTCTAAAGTGGTGTGCGTACAACTCACAATCGACCGCTTGCATTGTTCCCTCTTAAAATTATCAGGGTTGCCACGCTTTTGCTCTTTTCAAATTCCCTGACTTCTCCAGGTTTTCCAGGTTAAAAAACGGAATTTTTCCAGGTTTTTAAAACGAAAATTATTCGAAAACATCAATAACTTCATTTTTAAATAAATATTTAATCATATTTTTATAGGAATTTAAGATATTCAAAAATTTGAAATTCAATATAACATATAAGAATATTATTGTAAAACATGAAGATATCAATCACTTTCTTCAAGTGATCGCTTTCTTCAAGTTTTATAATAATTAAAACTTGCTACTTTGTTACTGTAACTTCTTCAAAAATTATTTTCATCATTACGATTATTTATTTCTAGAATTTTCAGCTAAAATTCTTCAATTTTTTTCTAATAATTTTTGAACAAGTTCTTTGCGAATTTTCAAATTCTTTTGTCTACAATTTAATTTTACGAAATTTCGATTATTCTAACATTCTTTAATTAAATATATTAGAATTTAAAAACTTCAAATAATTAAAAAAAATTCCATTAAACTTATTCAGAAAAATTAATTTTATAGAATTCTTAATTAAAAGTATGACAAGTTCAAATTTTCAAAGATTTTAATCTGAAATTCATTTATAAATCAATATTGTTAAGAAAATTCTACGAGAATTCAATTATTTAACTATAAAAATAAATGTTTTATTAAACAATTGAATGTCTCTTAAAATTGATTTTTTATAAAGAATTTTATTAACAAACTTTTAAATAATTGAATTCTTTTGACAAATTCTAATAAAATTTTTAAGAATAATTTTATTTGTTGAGAAATTTGATGAAAATTGTATTAAAAATAATTGAAATTCTGCCAAGAATTTTATTAATATTTTTGAAAATAATTGAATTTTGGAGAAAAATTTTATTATTTATAAAGATAATTGAAGAATTGAATTACTTTGAAAAATTTACAAAAATTCTTCTCTAAAATTCAATTATTTTCATAAATAATAAAACTCATCGCATAATATTTCAATTATTTAAAAAAAATTTTTATAAAATTCTTCGCAGGAATTCAATTATTTTTTTAAATAATTAAATTCTTCGCCAAAATTTAATTATTTTTATAAATAAAATAATAAAATTTATTCGCTGAAATTCAGTTATTTTCATAAATTATAAAATTCTGCACTAAAATTTAATTACTTTCGTAAATAATACAATTCTTCTCAATAATTGTCAATTATTTTTATAAATAATAAAATTCTTTAAAACAATTTATTTATTTTCAATTTAAATTAAATTCCTCGGAAGAATTAAATTATTCTGAAAAAATTACAAAAATTCTTTTGCAGAAATTCTATTATTTTCATAAATAATAATTTTGATAAAATTCTTGTCACGAATTCAATTAATTCTATAAAACTCTTAATTAAAAGTATGAAAAGTTCAAATTTTCAAAGATTTTAATTTGAAATTCATTTTGAAATCAATATTTATTAGAAAATTACACGAGAATTAAATTATTTAACTAGGTATAAAAATAATATTTTTATTAAACAATTGAATTTTTTTTAAATTTAATTTTCATAAAGAATTTTATCATCAAATTTTTAAATAATTAAATTCTCTTGACAAATTTTAATAAAATTTTTAAGAATAATTGCATTTTTCAAGAAATTTGATGAAAATTGTATTAAAAATAATTAAAATTCTGCCAAGAATTTTATTAAAAGTTTTGAAAATAATTGAATTTCGGAGAAAGATTTTATTATTTATAAAGATAATTGAAATTTTGACAAGATTTTTTGTAAATTTTTAAACATAATTGGATTTCTGCGAAGAATTTTATTAAAATTATTTTGAATAAAATTGAATTGTTACGCAAAGAATTGCATTAAAATTTTTAAAAATAATTTTATTCTTTAAAGAAATTTAATTAAAAATTTATTAAAAATAATACTTTAATTTTAATAAATAAATTGTAGCAAAGGTTGTTAAAATAATTAAATTTCTTTGATAAATTTTAATAAAATTTTTAAGAATAATAACTTTACGAGGAATTCCATTAAAATTACATTGAAAATAATTGAAATTCAGCTTTGAGTTTTATTATTTATAAAAAATAATTTAATCCCTATAAAAAATATTATTATTTATGAAAATAATTGAATAATATATGAAAATAATTTGTAAATAATTGAATTCCTGTGAAATTTTTATTGATTCAATTTACAATATAAGTATTTCAACAAAATTTTCTTTACAAAATTCCACAAGACAAAAAAATTTGATTTTTCTCTAATGAAATTGTACAATTAAATTATATTTAATAAACAATTGAGCAATGCAAACGGACGATAAAGAGACAAAGTGCCAAATTTACAGAACTTTAGCTAGGTAAAAATCGCAATTCGATATAGAATCTAGATTCTGTCGATAAAAAAAGAAAAGGCGCTCTAGTAGAAACGTTAGAAAATAATTACAAGTGCGCCATAGTTTTAAACTATATGAATTTCATAAAATATAATCCGCAAAATTTTAATCACGAAAATTAATAACTTTTTTCAGTCGCAATAATGAATATGAATCCAAAAGACTGCTTTATTATCATTTCACCTGCATAAATGAACAAGAAGAAAAAACAAACACCAAATTTTCAAAGATCCCTTAGGTTGAATTTTTTTTTTTTTTATTAGAAAAAAAAACGATTGTACTTATAATATACGCCTCGTTCAAACTAAACAAGCTCTCTATAACGATTTTAATTTCAAGCAAAACAAAATATTAATTTTAAGTGTCAGTTGTGACAAAATCTATTTTTAATTTTCTAATTTACGAGATTAAACTTTTTCCAAAGCATAATTTTTTTAAATCAGTAAATGCAAAAACAATTTTAGAAAATTATTCTTAAAGCTTTTGTCGTTGAAAAGCAAAAGTTTTAAAATAATTTTCAAAATACATTTTGAATTCGATGAAAAATAAAAATTGATTAAAATTGTTTTTGCTACAATAAAAATTTAATTTTATAATTCATTTTATTAGTACATATTTCTTTAAAAAGTATTTATTCCTTATTAGTATTACTTGTTGTCTAGGGGATTAAAATTTTTTAAGTTTTCTCTCCGAATGTTATATCACTGAAGGTATTATTAATTATAAAATAAATGTGGAACCAAATTATATGCCCGAATAATTGTCGTATCACTTAAAAAAAAGAGAAGAAAGAAAAAAAACTAGAGGACGTAGATACAATTCATAGATCTGTACTCGGGTATATATACATATAATGTGAAATGATGTACATATTTGTGTAGCTATGCGGCAAAATACATACAAATAAACAGAAATATAAATATATATGTATAAATAATGCAATAAAAAAAGCAATGTTATTGTAAAATCGATAATTACTAAATTGAAAAAAGGCATTTCGTGCTATGTAAGCTTGTACAAAAAGACTTGATATAAAAATTGAAAATCAATACGGAATGTCATTTTTAGGTAAATTTTCTTTTGTTACACTTTAAAGAAAAAAATGATTTTGTTTTCAATTAATCAAAATCAAAAATAGCAATAAAGATCTCTTCATTTTTTTGGGGTCGTGCAATTAACAGCTTCGCGTTGGTAAAACCGATAAAATTCTGATTTGCGTCCTTCGAAAAAAAAAAATACAAATTATTCAACATACGTGCAAGAAAAAAAGGCACGAAAAGTGTGATATCGTAAAATGTATAACGAATAATAATAAAGAAAAAAAAATGTGCGCTGAAGAATGAAACGGAAAACTGAATGACGAATTTGGTTATTAGACATCTATGTGTTAAATATATAAATATATAAATAAATAAATATGATATTTTTTGTTGATTTTAGCTGTACAGATTTACTTTACGATTGTTAATTGTAATTAAAAATACAAGCGATAAAGTTGGCGCGAACTCGAGAATAATCTGACTTTTTTTGTACCTATTTAAATATATTGAGAGAAGTAGGTTTATGGAGAAAAAATAAAAATTCTCAACTTGTCTCTAAACATTGTTTTTCTATGTAAATAATTCCCTCAAAAATATTTATCACTGCATTCATTCAAAATATATGTACCTGTTAACGAATTCAAATTATCAGTTTAAATAGTTTGTTTTGTTCGATAAAAGTCATTTATCGGTGATATTTTAGAGGTAAGTGTAAAAAAATTGAAACCTACTCTAAAAAATAGTTTTTTGTCACACAGTAGAAAACATATTTTAAAATGAACATCTTAAAATTAAAATATATTTTGAACTATCTGGTATAAAAATAAATATTTTAAATGTCATTTGTAAAACATTCAAATTCAAATCTTTTTAAAATTCAACAATTTATAATAATTAAAGACGACCCAGTGATAAGATCACTATTTTCTACTATATATATAGGAAATATTTTTACTGAAATTTCTTCAAAATTATTTACATTATTTGAATTCAATTATTATTTTCTAGAATTTTTAACTAAAATTCTTCTTTAAATCAATTATTTACAATAATTTTAAAAAAAATTCTGCTAATTTTCAAATGTATTTGTTTATAATTCAATTTTACAAAATTTCATAGATTAATCTGAAATTCTTCAATTAAAAATGTAATTGAAAATAAAAACTGGAAATAATTTTTCAAAGTATTCAATTAAACTTTTTCAAAAAAATTAATTTTTCAGAATTATTATAGTTAAAAATATGAAAAAATTCAGATTTTCAAAGATTTTTAATTGAAATCTTTTCAAAATTCAATTATTTCTAAAAATTCACGCTATTGTGCTTTTAATATTCAATTAATATCTAAAATTGTAACTGAAATTCATTTTCAAATCAATTTTCATCAGAAAATTCTACTAGAATTCAATTATTTTAATACAAAAATAAATAATTTATTGAATAATTGAATTCTCATATAGAATTTTATCAACACATTTTTTAATAATTGAATTCTTTTGAAAAATATAAAATAAAAATATAAATGAACTTAAATATTTTTTAATAATTGAATTTTTTTGAAAAATTTTATTAAAATTTTTGAAAATAATTGAATTTTGGAGAATAATTTTATTATTTTTAAAGATAATTGGAATTTTGACGAGAATTTTTAAAAAATTTTGAACAAAAATTCGGATTTTCAGAGATTTTAATTTGAAACTTTTTCAAAATCAATTTACTTCTAAGAATTCACGCTATAATGCTTTAGCTTTTAATATTTAATTATTATGTAAAATTTTAACTGAAATTCACTTTTAAATCAATTTCTATTAGAAAATTCTACGAGAATCCAATTATTTAAATACAAAAAGAAATAATTTATATTGAATAATTGAATATTTTTAATATTAAATACTTATAAAGAATGTTATCAAGAAATTTTTGAGTAATTAAAGTGTTTCGACAAATTTTAATAAAAATTTTTTTAAAATAATTACATTTTTTGAGGAATTTGATTAAAATTGTACGAAAAATAATTGAAATTCTGCGATAAGTTTGATTATTTATGAAAATAATGGAATTATTGAGAAGAAATTTATAAAAAATTTGTAAATAATAGAACTCCTGTGAAATTACTTTATAATTTATGAAAATAATTAAACGTTTGCATAGAATTTTAATAAAATTCTTTTTAAATAATTGAATTCCTTTGGAAAATTTTATTAAAATAGTAGATATTGAATATCATTCAATTTAGGAAAATTTTTGCAAATAATTGAAATTTTGTCAAGAAATTTATTGAAATTTTTGAAAATAATTGATTTTTGAAGAAGAATTTTATAATTTATAAAGATAATTGAAATTTTGACGAGAATTTCTTTAAATTTTCGAATATAATTGAACTTCTACAAAATTCAAATTTCTTTTAGTGTTTTTAACTAAAATTTCTGATTAATTTCTTTATTTTTAATAATTAATTAAATTAAAAAATTTAACTAATTTCAGAATAATTGAAATTTTGAAAATTTTTGCAAAAATTTAAGTTCTTTAGAATTTCTAATGAAATTCATTCAAAATTGAAATTTTATAAAATTTGAAATTAAAATCTTTTCAAATTCATCTATTTATGAAAATTGTAAACAAAACTATTGTAAAATTCAATTAATTTTCAAATGTATAAATAAAATAATTAAATAATTTCAAAGTTATAATTTTATGATAGTTCTTCAAAAATTAAATTATTTAATAAGAAATTATTGTCAGAAATGGAAAAAAGTGAAGGTTTTGTATTAGAATTTTTGTTTTTTCTAGAAAAAACTATTAATAACAATATTTTAATTATTCGAATGTTAATTAATTACTTTTCTAAAGGTCTGCATTCTGTTGAATGAACTACCTTATAATTTATAAAATTCTTTACGATATTTATATTATTTAAATAATTAACATAAAAAAACATATTTATATTATATTGTGGTGTTAATAATCTAAATCAAAAATAAAACTCACTGAATTCTATAACATTGAGTCTAAATTTTATCATTACACTTTGAAAAGGATTTCAAAAAAAGAAAAACTTGTTTATTTTTGATTAGAAAAAGGTGAAAAAGGGGACAAATCAGTAAAAAGGGGAAAAAGATGACAAATCGTCAAAAAAGGTGAAAAAATTGAAGTAAGAGGACAAAAGGGAAAAAGTAGAACATCTGAAGATTAAAACAAGTAATTGAAATTAACTTAATACTTTATTACGTCTACTTAATGACAATTGTGATCTTTTGGTTGGATGAATAGATGACGAATGTAAGTATCTAACTTCAACTAGTTTTTTCTCGTATAAAAGCGCTTATTGATCATAAAAATATTAAAGATAAAATAAAGTTTGGTGCATCAAAAAATTCACAATACATTTCAACTTAATGCCAATGAGAAAAATTATCATCAATCACATCTCTAGTGTGGAAAAAAAATTAAATCTTTTGGAATTCTTTTTTTATCATCAAAGCTAGAGAATGATTTCTTTTATATACGTAATTTAAAAAAAAAATTGATTTGTACCTAGAGTGAACAGGTTTTTATTTTCCGTTAGTTTGACTTTTGCTTAGAATTATGTTTACTAGTGTGATTTAAAGAATTATTAACCGGTGTATTATTCACTGAAATATCAGAAATGTCTTCGCTACTGTCACTTCGAATATCGCCTTCCATCTGCAAAAGAAATTAAAAAAAGTCAAATATAAATTAAAATAAATGAAAAATAAAATAAAAATAAAATAAATAAAAAATAAAATACCGGAAATATTTTTTAACAGTAAATAATAATTTTCAACTCGGTAGACTTACTTGACCAGCACAAAAGGCATTGTACGCTATCCTTAATATTAACCATGTCCAAAAAGCGTGGAGAATTAATAATAAACATAGCAGAGCGTTGAAAATATAGTACGCAGGGAACATTGGTAATAACTTAGGTGCTTCTACGGACGTACTGTAAAAAAAATAATTTCATTAAAATTTACCCTTCAAAGAAAAATGTTACATTTACCATATTTACTGTATTTTCAAAAAATAACAAACCTATAAATAATCCAAAATGGATAAACTCCCATACGTGTAAAAATCCATAGAATTGTGAAAATTACAAAAATGAAGTCACATACTTTTTGGTATTTCGCGTATTTTGCTATTTTAGCAGCCTGAAAGAATAAAGAATATTAAAAAACAAGCAAATGTTATGCACGCGGAACGTAATATTCAAATTATTATTATTATTATTCAAATTACAAAATTTTTTATTTTCAAACATGAATTTTTGAATAATTGCAGATTAAAACTTTAAAAAAATTCAATTATTATCTAATTTACTAATTAATTATTCTTGATTATTAATTTAAAAAATTTTAATAAAATTAGTTGCAAGAATTCAATTATTTTTTAAAATAATTAAATTAATTGTAAAAATTCAATTATATTCGAAAAAAAATTTAACGAAAGAATTCAATTTTTTCCTTAATTCGTTATAAAATATTTCGAAAAAATTCAATTATTTTCTAAAACTTTAATAAATCCTTCGAAACAATTCAATTTTATTTATACATGGTAAAATTCTTTGCAAAAATTCAATTATTTTTATTTTATTTTATTTATTTTTATTTTTTTTTAATAGAATTTTAATTTTTATTAAAATTTCATGAAAGAATTCAATTTTCAAACCTTTTTAAATTTAATAACTTTTAAGAATGTTATTATAAAACATAAAGATATCGAGCGGACCGAGTTTTATAATGATTTAAACTTCCATAAATTTTAAAAAAAAAAATTAAATTACCAAAAATTTTAATAAAATCCTTAGCAAGAATTCAATTTTTTTATAAGTAATACAATTTTTCACATCAATTCAATCATTTAAAAAAAATGTAATAAAATTCGTTGTTAGAATTCAATTATTATTGTAAATAATAAAATTTTTCAGAGGATTTAAACTACAATTTTATTTATAAAAACATGTAATTATTTTCAAACATTTTTTGCAAAAATTCAATTACATTTCACAAATAATGAAATTCTTCGCTGAAATTCAAATATTTTCGAAATCTACAATTTTAATAAAATATCATGAAAGAATTCAATTTTAAAAGAAATTTTAATAATATTTTTCGAAAAAATTCAATTATTTTCTAAAATGTTAATAAATCCTTCGAAAAAATTCAATTTTGTTTATAAATAGTAAAATTAATTGCAATAATTCAACTATATTCAAAATAATTTAACGAAAAAATTCAATTATTTTCTGAAATTTTAATAAATCCTTAGAAAAAATTTTATTTTATTTATAAATAGTAAAATTAATTGCAAAAATTCAATTATTTTTTATACAATTTTAATAATATTTTTCGAAAAAATTCAATTATTTTCTAAAATTTTAATTATATTATTAAAAATTCAATAGTATTTATAAATAGTAAAATTCATTCATCAATGGAAAAATTCAATTATTTTCAAAAAAAAACTTCACGAAAGAATTCAATTTCTTTCTTAATTCATTATAAAATTTTTTAAAAGAATTCAATTATTTTCTAAAGTTTGAATAAAATTCAATAATTAAATGTTCAATTTTAATTGAGGGTCCCAATCAAAGAACCGGTTATAAGTTTTTGAGACTCAAAATTCTCGACCTCTAAATACAAAAAGTATTTAAAATTTCAATTTCTTGAAAACATTTCGTATTTGTAAAGATTACCAAAATGTTTCTCAAAAAATTAAGATTAAAAACAGTTTAACTTTCGACTTATAGGACAATGATTTTGAGCTTAAAAAAATTATAACCGGTTTTTTGATTGGGACCCTCAATTATTAACAAACACGATTATTTAAAAAATTTGATAGAAATTATTTATAAAATTCGATTATTTTCAAAATTTTTAATTAAAATTATTAAAAAAAACTGCATTATTTAAAAAAAAATCATAGAAATTCTTCAAAAAGAATTTAATTGTAATTTTAAAAAATTTTAACAAAATTCTTCGCGAGAATTCAATTATTTTCCTAAATAATAAAATTCTTCGAAAAAATTCTATTATTATCAAATTTTTTGATAAAATTCTTTGCAACAATTCAATGATTTTTAATACCTACATTGATTTTAAAATTGAAAATATTTAAGAAAAAAAATTAGGAAACAATAAAGCAAACATTATTAATATAGATTTACTTATAGAATATATTTAAAATAAATAAGTTAAGACAAATAAAACGAAAACATTCGGACAATTTTTTGTTTTATTTGCCTTAATTTATAAAGGATCTCAGACATTAATGATTATTTAACTGAAAATAAATAAATTATTTACCTCTAGGAAAATATCGGCACAATCATGTACAACGAGAACAAGAGATCCAATTCTGGTCAAGTTTCCTACCCAGGAAAAGCACATGAGTACAATTGTCGCTATATGATGGACGAACATTTGCCAAAAATCCTTTCGCTTCACATCGAAGAACTGAGAGAAACTCAGTGACCAATAAAATGCCATTGATACCATATAATACCACCAAATGTCACTTGTTACCGCATGGTATGGATAGTTGTAATAACAATGCTTTATATCCCACAGCCATGGTTTGTCCCATAAAACGACGAGACCATAAATAAATGAGTACGAATAATATAAACATCTCCAACTAGAAAAAGAAGCATAATTTTAATTCCTTTCCCATAAAATAGATCATCAATTTGCCAAATGAACATTCGAAGATAAAAATAACATTTCAAACTGTCATTATCATTAAATAGAAAAGCCAAAGAAAATTTCGATTTCGATTGATGGTCAAATAATAAAAAGACAAAATAATAAAACAATAAAAAGTGAAATTCTTCAATAACAAAACAATAATAAATAATAAAGCAATAATAAAAAAATTCAAATGATAAAAAAATGAAAATTGATATCATAAAAATTCTATGATACCTTAAAATATTTGTCAATAAAAAATGTCATCAACTGAAAATTTTGAGCCAATGGGGATTACTTTTAGAGAGAACATTCACAATTTTCTCGAACGTAATTCCAGAAATTTTTCATTTCCTTTGCCGAATGCATTGAATTACTAAAAAATGTGTGCAACGTAAAAACTGATTCGACTGCTTGGCACTTTTAGTAACTAGAAGTTGTAAGTTAACTAACCTGTTTTCACAAAACTTCGTTAGAGTCGACGGTCTGTCTTGAGACCGTCTTAACCTCAGCCATCTTTCAACTTGTCGTTCACTCCAATCCACTTGCTTCGCCAAGGCTAATAACTGCAAAAGGATTAATCATTACATAATTTATTTTCAATCAACTTCAATGGACATTCTATATAGATCAAATTTCTCCAGAGCAAAACAAAATTCCTACATTAGAATAATTGTGCATATACCAATGACGTTCAAAATACTTATAATGTACAATTATTTTCCAATTATATTCCAATTATTTTCCAAAAATAGTAACAATAGAAAATTAATTAAAATAATTAAAATTTTAAATTAAAAAAAATAAAAGACTTTTCCCTAATTTTCAGAGAAAATTTAAACTTTTCCTCTGACCCTAAAAAATATTCAAAATCAAAATTTTATTGTAAAACATAAAGATATCGATCACTCCGAGTCGAAGACTCGGAGTGATCGATTTCTTTATGTTTATTATAATTTAAATTACCATAAAATTTTTCAAAAAAAATTTCATTATTTACAGAAAACCTAATAAAATCTTTCGCAAGAATTCAATTACTTTTACAAGTAGTGAAATTTCTCAAAAGAATTCAATTATTTTAAAAAAAAAGTGCAATAAAATTCGATGCAAGAATTCATTTATTTTCATAAATAATAAATCGATTATTCGAAAATTCATTTTTAAATCAATAAAATTTAATTTTTATTAAGAATTTTATCAACAAATTTTTAAATAATTGAATTCGTTTGACGAATTTTAATAAAATTTTTAAGAATAATTAGAGGAATTCGCTTAAAATTGCATCAAAAATAATTAAAATCCTGCGACGAGTTGTATTATTTATGAACATAATTAATTTTACAGAATTATTATAGTTAAAAATATGAAAAATTCAGATTTTTAAAGATTTTAAATTGAAACCTTTTCAAAATTCAATTATTTCTAAAAATTCACGATATAACGCTTTTAACATTCAATTATTATCTAAATTTTTAACTGAAATTCATTTTTAAATCAATTTTTATCAGTAAAATTTTACGAAAATTCAATTATTTAAATACAAAAATAAATAATTTATTGAATAACTGAATTCTCATAAACAATTTTATCAACGAATTTTTTAATAATTGAATTCTTTTGAAGAATTTTAATAATTAAATTCCTATTTGAAGAATTTTAATAAAATAGTAAATATTGAAATTCAGGAAATTTTCTTAAAATAATTGAAATTTTGCCAAGAATTTTATTAAAATTTTTAAAAATAATTGAATTTTGGAGAAGAATTTTATTATTTTCAAAGATTTTAAATTGAAACTTCTTCAAAATTAAAATATTTCTAAAAATTCATGATATAATATTAGGTACTTTTACAATTATTATCTTTATTTTTAACTTAAATTCATTTTTAAACCAATTTTTATCAGTAAAATTCTACGAGAATTCAATTATTTAAATACAAAAATAAATATTTTATTGAAAATTGAATTCTTTTGAAGAATTTCAATAAAATTTTTTTTTAATAATTGAATTCTTTTGAAAAATTTTAATAGAATTTTGTTTTAATAATTCAATTCTTTTGAAAAATTTTAATGAAATAGTAAATATTGAAAATCATTAAATTGAGGAAAATTTTTGAAAATAATTGCAATTTGGCCAAGAATTTTATTAAATTTTTTAAAAATAATTGTATTTTGGAGAAGAATTTTATTATTTTTAAAGATGATTGAAATTTTGACAAGAAGTTTTTTTTAATTTTTGAACATAATTGAATTCCTAAAAAGAATTTTATTACTTTTGGAAATAATTGAATATCCGTTAAAAATTTTTATTATATTTATGAAAGGAATGAAATTGCAAAAAAATTTATAAAAAATTTGTAAATAATTAAATTCCTGAGAAATTTTAATTATTTCTGAAAATAATTAAATGTTTGCGTAGAATTTTAATAAAAAAATTTTTAATAATTAAATTTTTTTTGAGAATTTTAATAATATAGTTGATATTGAAAATCATTAAATTAAGGAAAATTTTTGAAAACAATTGAAATTTTCACAAGAATTTTATAAAAATTTTTGATAATATGTAATTGAATTTCGGAGGAAATTTTTTTATTATTTACAAAGATAATTGAAATTTTGACGAGAATTTAAAAAAATTTTTGAACATAATTTAAAAAAAAATATTTATATGCAGAAAATGATTGATTAGTAATGTTACAAAACAGAGAAAACGTCTAAAGTCTCAAAAAATCACGACTCATGATAAATATGCGAAAAATAAACTAAATAATTGATTTGGTAAAATATTGCAAATTTTTAAAAAATGTCTTAAAAAATAATAATTCTCTCATTTTTTAAAATTAGAAACTGATTTTAATTTAAATAATTTTAATAAATTTCAATGACTAAATAACATAAATTTCAAAGTTTTACATTCGTTGCGCAAATATAACAAATTCATTTTTCTTCGAGATATAGAAAATGAATATTCCTGATTTAAATATAAATATCATTTATATTATTTAACAAAAATTATTTGTTTTTTTAAATAAAACTATGTCTACACGTTTCATTTCTTTTTTCTCTGTTAACAATTTCAATGTAGCATCTTCTTATTTTTTTTTTTTTTTAAATTTTTATCAAGATAATAAAAAGATATAATCACATAATATGTAATGAGTAGTTTGAACATAAGGTTTACATACGTAATAAATTGTACAAGACACGCAAAGTTTAGTACAAGTTTTGTCTAAAAACATATTCTACCGCTGAAAAAGTCTATCGCTATTATAAAGTCCTGGAATTCTCATTTCACTTTTACTGGTAAATTATAGCAAAATAAAATAGTAATTTGCAAAAATTATACCTGTTTATGTTTTATCTGTTTGTTGACATAGGCTTTTTCCAATATTGGATTAGGCTGTGCTTTCTTGCTTCGATTTGTTTTTATTCCAAGCCACTTTCCAACTGGACTGAAACAATACCTAAAAAAAGACAATATAATTAGAAACAATATATTTATCGTTATCAATAATTTTTTTCCCCTTTAAATATAATTCCCTGCTCAACTTTCTTTAATTTCTTTTAACATCTGCTAATTTTTCTAAATTTAGCATAATTACCGTTTCATATCTTGTACATTGTAATTACTTTTATTTTAAGTGTATTCAGATATAAAACGACGATTATCTGTCAAAGATACAATCGGTCGCGGCACTTGACATTGTTTTTTTTGTTTTTATCATTTTAAAATGACCCTGAATTAATAATTACTTTTACTGATAATTAACATATATACACAATGAATAAATAGTTGTACAATATTTATAAATTGTCCTTTTGCACTTAAATTTTTTACGAATGAAAAAAAAATAATTTTCTTATTTCGATAATTTTTTTCGCAATAAAATTGGTTAAAAATTATGAAAAACTTATGTCGATAAATTATAATTTCTACTGCACTTATTTCGTTTCATTATTTTCACAAACAAACTTTTATTGCTTTAACCTGCAATTATCTTATCCAATTTTTACTCATTTCGAACACAGATTACTGAATTATTTACCTATACAATGTTTTGCAAAAAAAGAAAAAATTCAAAGCACGCATATTATATTAAGACCTATACTTATAGAAGAAAAAATAACATCAAATTTCGTGGAAAATTTTCTTTTCTATAAATATGAATTTGGGCCATGTTATAATCATGCCAAGTCAATGAAGAAAAACATTGATTTTCGTAAAAATTGATTTTCCATTACATTACTGACCTCGAAACTTTTTACAACATACAAGAAATATTTTATTTTAAATCAACGTTCATATACTTCATAATTCTTGAAAAGAAAGAAACTAAATTATATTTATTAAACAAATTTCTTTTTTTAAATAATCATAATAAAGTTTATCTTCTTGTTTGAAAGATGATAAAACAAATTTTATTATCCCTCCAATTTATGTGAAATAAGTTCACGTACAATGCAGATGACATTTTACCCGCATCAGTCAAAAAAAAATAATTCTATACAATTGTTTTCAATTAGATTAAATAAATCAAAAATTCCACAAATTAAATTTATCAAACGGTTAATAATTTACATAAAAGGAAATTGAATTTTAGTATTGTAAAATATTTCTTTTCTTTAAAAAAAATGGTGAATTATAACAAAAACGAATATAATTATTTTAAACAAAATAATAAACGATAAAAAATGTTTTTATTTCAAAAATCGTTCATATCTAAAGAACTGTCTCTGTAACATTTGCTAATATAATAAAAAAAGTATTTCTTTGATTAGTCACCAATTGAAGATATATCTACCTACATTAAACTATATGACATTAGCCGCAATCACTATATAGTGAAAAAAAAATATATTCAATTTTTTCTAACAAGAAAAAAGATTAAAAACAGTATTTTATTTTTTGAAAAATGTTCCCAATAACGGTAAAATGCTATGTTGAATTAGGACTATGTATTTTTGAAATTAAATAGAAATTAACCTTCTTTTTAATCTTCAACCATTAGAGAGAAGTTTGTGACCGCATGCTAACACATATATGAAAATTATCTAAAAAATTTATAACCTACCTTTCGATAGCATATCTGATTCCCAAAAGAATAAAGGCCATTGAAATTGGTAATAATAAGTGTCTATAGTCGGCATATTTATTCGTTGAATTCGGCGCGATGTCGTCCCATGTCGTATTCGGAGGTAACCAAATATCAGGTGACCAGAACGTTGAGGAAATATTTGTTAGAATATCCATTTTTCTTTCAATTTTTCAAAACGTCAATAAATTTCATAGGCTTTATGACGTTTAAAAAAGAAAACTCTTTTAAACAACAAAAATGCACCAAACTGTCTCTTCCTTTTTTTTCTCGTACACACAACACACAATGCACACTACACTTTTATAAGCACACAACAGTTTATCATTTTTATTAACACAATGTAAACCGCCCTTCGATGTCTCGAGACTCTCCGTTGACTCCGTTCTGATCGGCTAATGAATAACCGCAACCACGCCGATGTATACCGAAGCTGAAAATTGACATTTACACGCCATCTTTTGAGGTTAGGACAGATTACAAGCGCGGTAAAAGGGGCCAGGGTGCTGCGTACTATTTACGTTACGCGAAAAACCCCAGATTTATTTAATTAAATTACTCATTAATTAGAAATTATTATAATTAAATAATTACTAATTTACTAATTAACGTAATGGTTATTTAATAATTATCATATTTGAAATATATTTCTTATTTGTTTGTATTTTGCCTTTTTGTCACAAATACGTAACTATTTTTAAATGAACACAAATTTACGTAATTCATTTTTACCCTTTTCTACCTAAAATCCCTAAAATCAATAGTTTGCGTAAAATAGTCATAAAAATTGAAAATGATTCCGAACCTTGGGTGAAAAATAAGTAAACTACAAAGATAATTTTAGTAATATTATACTGTTAATTACACCAAAAAATGTTTAATTTTATTTTTCTTTAATAAAAAATTAAAATTAAAATTAAAGAAAATTGTTGAAATGTAAAATAGTTTTATTATCATTATTAAAAGAGTTTTTAAAGTTGCAATATAGATAACCAAAGTAATAATGATGGTGAGTGTATTATTTATACATAGACTTGTCACCATATTTATTAAATTATTAATTCATTAAATAATCCATTCATTATGATTCATTGAAGATTAAAAAATTGCCGTAAAAATAAGTTTCTTTGCTTTTTTTTTTAATTTCGTAAAAATATGATTAATGCTTAAAAAATGTTTATTATTTTGACAGACTGCCACATGTTGTATTTGTCAACGTCAATTATCAAGTGAGATCGATAAGAAGAACATCTTCAAAGATTGTCTATTAATTCAATCTGATTTTGATAAGACAGAGGAAAAATCTACTTCGGTTAAAAAATTAAGGTTATACACAGCGATCGAATTAATCATAGGAACTAAGGTAAATATTGATTCAATTATTGCTGCTAATTTTAAAAAAATGTCTAATACAGGGTTGCCGGAAAAATTTGATTTTGTTTATCCCTGACTATTCCCTGATTTTCAGAGTTTTTCCCTGACTGAATATTCTGATTCACTCTAAAAATTGTTAGATACTTAAAAAAGTTTCTTTTACATTTATTTACAAATTTCTTCAAAAGTAAAATTATTCCAAAACACCAATAACTTCTTTTTAAAATAAATATTTAATTATTATTTTTCCATGGGAATTAAAATTCTTCAGAAGATTCAAATTCAAACATTTTGAAATTCAATAACTGATATAAAAATATTATTGTAAAACATGAAGAAATGGATCACTCCGAGTCTTCGACTCGAAATAATCGATTTCTTCATATTTTAAATAATTAAAGATGATCGAGTGATAAAATCATTCTTTTATATTATATAATAATATAAGAATATTGTTTCTGTAACTCCTTCAAAATTGTTTTCATCATTTTAATTCAATTCAATTATTTTCTGCAGTTTTTAAATAAAATTCTTCTTTAAATCAATTATCTTTATAAATTTTTAATAAACTTCTGTTGAAAATTTTCAAATTCATTTGTTTACAATTCAATTTTACGAAATTTCAATTTATCGGAAATTCTTCAATTAAATATATATTTGAAAATAAAAACTTGCAATAATTATTTTAAATTTCGATTAAGTTTTTTTGGAAAAATTAAATCTACACAAATTTTAGTTAAAAATATAAAAAATCCAAACATTCGAAGATTATAATTTGAAACCTTTTCAAAATTCAACTATTTCTAAAAGTTGCAATTATTAGTAACTTCTCCAAAATTCAATTATTATCTAACACTTTTACTGAAATTAATTTTTAAAGCAATTAATTTTTATTAGAAAATTCTACGAGAATTCAATTATTTAAATAAAAATAGATAATTTATTGAATAATTGAATATTTCTTAAAATTGAAATCTTACACATTATTATATCAACAAATTTTTAAAAAATTGAATTCCTTCGACGAATTTTAATAACATTTTTAAGAATAATTACATTTTTCGAGGAATTGGATTAAAATTTTATTAAAAAGTAATTGAAATTCTATTAAAATTGCTTTTAAATAATTGAATTCTTTTGAGAAATTTTATTAAAATTCCTGAAAATAATTGAATTTTGTTGAAAAATTTTGCTATTCATTTATAAAGATAATTGAAATGTTGACGACAATATTTTATGATTTTTTAAAAATAATTGAATTCCTGAGAAGAATTTAAATAATAATTTATGTAAATAATTGGATTCATGCGAAGAATTTTATTAAATTTTATTTAAATAATTGAAATTTTGATAAGAATTTTATTAAAATTTTTGACATTAATTTAATTCTTGAGAAGAATTTCGCTATCTATTTATAAAGATAATTTAATTCTTGACGAGAATTTTATTATTTTTCTAAAGAATTGAATTCTTGGCAAAAAAATTGAATTTTTGAAAAAATTTATTAAAATTCCTTAAAATAATTGATTTTATGGAAAAAATTTTGTTGTTTATCAAGATAATTGAATTCCATTGCAGAATTACTAAAATTATTTTTGAAAATTAATTTATTTTTTATTAAATTTATATATTTTCGAATTAAAAGCTATTTATGAAAATAATTGAATTATTGCAACTAATTTTATTATTTTATTGAATAATTAAATGTTTCTTAAAATTAAATTCTTTCGTCAAGTTTTAATAAAATTTTTAAGATTAATTGCATTTATCAAGGAATTTATTTACAATTTGTATTAAAAGTATTTGAAATTCTGCGATGAATAATAATTCGAATTCCTAAATGAAATTTTCTTATGTATGAAAATAATTGAATGTTTTCGTAAGATTGTATCAAAATTTCTTTTTAATAATTAAATCTTTCGGTAAATTTTATGAAAATACTAAATATTGAAAATGATTGAATCGCGAAAAAATTTTTAAAAATAATTGAATTTTGCAAAGAATTTTATTTAAATTCCTAAAAATAATTGAATTTCTGTGAAGAATTTTGTTATTTATTGAGATAATTGCATTAATATTTTTGAAATAATTAAATAATAATTAAAAAATTCATTCTTGTCAGAAATAGAAAATTTTTTTTGAAGGTTTTGTATTAGAATTCGTGATAGTTTCATAGCTAATAAGGCAAACAAAAAAGACACAAAAAATTCAGAATTTTCTTATGAATTCTAAAAATTTATATTTTTCCAGAACTTTTAATAAAAATCCCTGACTTTTCCCTGAATTCCCTGATTTTCCTGACCTGTGGCAACCCAGTAATAGAATAAAATAATAAATAAAAAATAAAAATAATTAAAAAAACTCTTTTTTTAAGGTATCCAAATCCAAAGGATCACCATCAATTCTCTGCAAACAATGTTATCGAAAATTGGAAGATCATATAAATTTTCGAACCCAAATTTTAATTTCATTTGGAAAAACAGTCCAAGATGAGAAATCTAGTTTCTCTACACAACAAACATTTGTAAATACTAAAAGAGAAGAATCACAGAAAATCAAAGAAAATTCTTCAAATGATATCATTAAGAGCGCAGACTGCCCTGAAAATTCAGATAATCACCAAAATCCTGATGATTTGATAAATGTCGATGAAAACAGTGACTCAATAGATTTATCAACATTACGTAATAATGATAAGGATACAAATGATTTCACTAATTTTAAAAAAGTACAAACCGATCAGAAAAATAACAATCTAAACGATTCAGACTCTTCGAATGACAACATTGATGTTCTCAATTGTATTGAAAGTCCTAAACGAATTTTAAATAATGATTTAGAATCAGACATTGATGTCTGTTCTGGCGATGATGATGAAATTTTAGAAATAGAATCAGCAAATAAAAAAGAAGAATTAAACTTATCTGAAAACTCATCCGAATCTGAAATTGAAGTCTGCGATTATGAACCAATAGGAAAAAAAACAAGAAATTTAGATTCAATTTATTCAGGGGTTAATATTTAATTTATCGAATGAAGCAATATATGAGTGAATTAATTAAAATTTCTAAACAATCAAAATGTGTGGTTTGAATAATGCACGAAAGAAATGTGTGCCTGATAATTTTATTAGAAATAAATTATCAAATTGTGTTTTTTTGTTTTGTGTTTTAGTATAATATTGTATTTGTCGTTTGCTGCGAAAAAAAACTATTGCTTATTTGTATGGAAAAATTTTAATAGTTACTAGTTAGTAAAATGTGGCGAATATTATAAATAGGTCCCGAGTACAAATTAAATTATAAGAAAATCGACAAATTTTTATAAATTTGACGTTTTTTCAAATTTACGTGTTGTTATATTAGTATTATAAATAAAAACTACTTCTTAAAATAACTAATGTATATGAAAAAAAACTCTGTGATAAAAATTGATTTAACCATTTTTTATCACTGAATAATAATATTTTTAAATCTTTTTTCTTTTAAAAATCGAAATTTTTTACTGTCACTACAGAACATAACAATTCGAATACTATTTATGTTTATTAAAAATTATTACTATCTTTTGTAACTAATTTGAATTGTTAATAAAAATTGAGTTATAAACCAGTCTAGTCATTTATTTTGATGTTATAATGTAAAACATGTCAAAAATAAACTTTAATACACGTGGCTAACAAAATAAAATAAAAAAATTTTTTTTTGTCATTAACCTCCCTACGGTTTGTTCCGAGTTCCGTTAGAAAAATTTTTTGTCAAAGTTACATAACTTCAAATGTTAGTTAAACAAGCAAGTTTTTTAATAAGTGGATAATGTGCATTTAATCAAAAAGTTTATGAAATCAGCTTATGAAAATCATTACTCGGGAGGTTTTCAGGGTCGCTGATTACGAATCTGGCATCAGATTTTCAAAATTCAGAATTTCGGATCCAATATGGCGGACATTTTTCAAAAAAATTTTATTTTTAATTAAAAATTTTTTTTTTAATATCTGACATATTGGATCCGCTATTTAATTAAACCGTAGGAGGGTTAACAATTAATTTTTTGTGTTAAATAAATTTTTTTGTTTAAAAAATTGAAATGTTCGGCGATTTTACATGGCTCGTTAGCTCAGTTGGTTAGAGCGTCGTGCTAATAACGCGAAGGTCGCGGGTTCGATCCCCCCACGAGCCAATTTTTTTCCATTTTCAATATAAAAGTTGCTAATCTTTAATTTCTTATTGTTAATTGTAAAAATAGTGATAAAACATAAAAAAAAATTCATTTTAATTTTTATCTTTTAAGCAAGTTGATAATTAACAAAGAATCCGACAAAAAATCGAAACAAAAGTTTTGAGTGTCTTAGATTCGCATTTAAATTGTAAACAATTTTTAAATTCGATATTTGTAATAATTTCAAAAGTTCATTAAATAAAGTAAACTTAAAAATTAAAAGGAAATGTAAATAGTAGAGGAAAAAATCTCATAGTGACGGTGGAGAAAGTTAAATTAAAAGACAGGTATTATTCGAAAATAAATAAAATGACTCAATAAAAAAATATACAACCGATTTATTAAACAATTAAATTTAATTCCATCTTAATTTGTCACTATGAGATTTTTCTTATAAATTATATTACAACTTATCTCCGTTACCCGGAAATGAGAGGGACTTACAAATTGATGAATTCTTACGTAGAAACAATGCAAGTGGAATAATTCTTGAAGAATTTTGGTCAAAACTGGAAACTCTTCAGACCATATTTTCATCATCCTTTTGTATTTGTTAATCCTTACTTGATGACACAAAATAGTAAAAATAATTGTCATCGCACTTCGTGTTCGCCAGGCTGAAAATAAAAAATTAATATACCTAAATATCCAAAAATATCGCACAAGGCATCGCAGTTAAAATTTTAAAATATAAAATTCAGTAATTATGTATAACATTCAATTATAAATTTACAATTCCATTTTTATGTGAAAGTTTTATAATTATTTTCTCATTCATTATTTAAATAAGAGACTAAAATAAACAAACATAACCTAAATTGTAAGAAAACAATACAGCACTTGTAAATTTGTCTAATTTTACCATTTTCCATTAATCAAAGAAATAAATCATTAGATTTCTTACATTTTTTTTAAATCCATCGATAAATTATTCGAAAAATAAAAATTTTAAAAGAAAAATATTGTCCGAGTTGTGTTGACATCTAGTCAGTTTACGTTTGAACTACATAATAAAAAACTGTAAGAAAATAAAATTTCTAGATTTACCTAACTAATTAGACTTACACAATTTTTCCAGAAAATGATATTAAATTTGTAATATTAATAAACAAGTTTTGTTCACTGTTAAAAAATACTGTCATTTAATAACAGTTTTTCACTTATTGTTATTGTTTAGAATGTAGTGATGTGAATATGGCTGCAAAGCTACCAACCCAACTTAAAAGAAAACTAACATTTTGGCCAACATGTCAAAAAAAAACCTAAATATTTTTACCATCATTCACTTTTTATAATAAATAAACAATAAAAAAATAATATTAATTGCAAAATTAATGCTTTGATATATAATTTATCGTCAACTGCAAATATTTTTACTTTTGACAACAAAAACAGATGTTCTGATGCGCCAACAATAAACTAAAATGGCCGACAATGTTGCGACGTCACACCGGCCAGCGACATCAAATGCATCTTTTCATTTTTCAACATTTTTCATTAAAAAAAAAAAAAGAAAATCGTATTTAAGATGCACCAGGGTGTAATTCCAATGTTGCATAATGCATATTTTACAAAAATTTCAGGAAAATTTAGTAAAATATTGATTGCATGTGCAAATAATTGTAGATTATTTTTACAAAATTAACAATATTTACCACGAGTCTGCTCCAAAATTTTACGAAAATCTTCTAATATACACATAAATCAACTTATTTATTCATGAATTTCGATTAATTACGATACGATGATTATAATATTAATGAATAACTTTAGCTCAACAACGACAATCGACAAGTGTTCACTGTCAATTCTCTACTAGTCAGAATGTAGTGACCAGTGCTGCCAACTCAACTTAAAAAAATTCCCAAATCCCAACTCAAGCAACATGGCGGCCAAACATTGCACATTCATTGAAAAATAAAATAACTTTACAATAAAAAAAAAGAAATATTAGTAACCAAAGCATTTTGGCATTATTTATTTTTGATATGTGAAAAAAATTTCTATTTAAATTTTAATATTGGAAAATTATCGACGATTCGCAATATGATGATCAGGGTTGCGCAGGTAAAAGCACTTGCTCTTGCACATTTTACGGGAGAAATTTCAGTGCGATAGAAAACAATAGCAACGCACTTCATATCAGAATTGTTTCAATTTGTTAACAATTCTCAACAATGTTTATTGCTATTTCTAATATAATTGTGGTAAACATATAGTTTACTGTATATTTACTATTCCTCTCACTTGATTCGAAAGAAAAAAATCAAACTCACTATTGCTAACAAAATTATTCATTATTAAACCAAATAAACTCACCGCTGTTGAAAGCTCTGTAAAAATCATTTCAATCGACGCCGTGAAATTCTTCTTCTCTCTTGTACTTGATTTTCAGCTCAGATCTCAGTTTCAATCTTGCCCAGAATTCACAATATATTCACTGTGATACACTCACAGCATGTAATATATTCGTTAAATAAACAAAATGAAGAAAAAATTTTTTTTCAAACTGACGCAGTGTTGCTCCAAAGAAAGTCCAGAGGGAAGTGAGGAGCCACTGCCGCAGCGCCCGTATTTACGTAGTCGCCCGATGCTTGCCGTGCGCTGATTGGTGCGCGGTCTCGAGCTGCCGCCCAGCCAATCAGCGTGCGACGCACTTTACCCCCACTATGCCTCCCAGAATGCTCGATCACGTAAATACCGACGTTTCGCAAGTTCCGTTCTCATTTCCGCAAAATGCTTCGAATCAGTCACATTGTTTTCTACTTTAGCTGGAAATAAATATACTCCATGAAGAAAAGTAAGTATTAGCAATGTTATAAAATGTAAACGGGAAACTTTTTGCATTTATTCGCTTTTGATAATTAAGGAAGAACAATAGTATTATTCGCATTTGATAATTAGCGAAAAACAAATAAGAATAGGTAATAGCATTATTCGTTTTTGATAATTAGCGAAAAATAAATAAGAGTAATTGCATTATTCGCTTTTGATAATTAACGAGAAATAAAAAAAAGTTAATTAGTAGTATTATTTAGGAATATAAATTAAATCCTGGTTTTTGATAAATTTTAACGTAAGGGTAAGGTCACAGCTTCGCAATAGGCAAGTCGCACAGCCTGTGATTCCACCGTAATGTTCATTTCGGTAAATTGGGTAAATTGTAAAGGAGTTTCTACAATTGATTGAATTGGACCTAACCTTTACTTAATGTAAAACCTCCGTACAGTTTTACATATGTGCGTGGCAAATACATGTAGAAAGTTTTGGCCTAAAATGCGCAGGCGCGACCACGTATAAAGTCTCCGTCGTGCTTTAAAACGTGCACTCAAATTTGTACACTATACTAGTTGTTTAATATTATCATCTAGCTTTTTGGTATTTATTTCAAGTGTTAATTAAGTTTATTGTGAAAAATGTCATCAGGAGGCGGTTGGGAAGTAGTTGGAAAAAATAAGAAAGACAAATCTGGTGTTCGTTCGAATAAACTGACGAAGGCGGAAAAGAAAAAGTTTATTGAAAATGCTCCAAAAGTTGAAGATTTTTGTAAGTTTGTAAATTAATAACAGAAAATTATGACATATGTTTATTTGTAAGTCTTCACCTTACAGATACAAGTAAAATAAAAACATATAATCAACTTTTATATTACATTGTTTACTCAATTGTGATTGTTTAATAATAACATATTGTCAATTGAAAGTAGTCGACAATTAAAAATTTCTATATATTAATAGGTAAATAAAAATGAATGTATATGTAATTGGAATTTTTAAATTGAAAAATATCATTTAAACTATTTTTAGAAAAGGGAAACGTTTTATTTACATGTCGATAATGAATCAAATGTATCGAAGACAACGAATGTAAACAATATGTTAGAATCGTGTGTTAATTTAATAAATTATTTGTTATCAGTACCTTTGGACCAAGTGAAGACTCTTTATGATAATTTGGAAGGAAATAAAGAAAACAAGAAACCTCCCAAAGCAAAGGAGAGTAAAACTAAGGAAAATGAGGAAAAGAAAAAACAACAAAAGCAGCAGCAGCAGCAACAACAACAACAGTCTGAAAAGAAAAAGGAGACTCCTAAGGAAAAACCACCAAAATCCATAGAAGAAGCTCTCAGAGCGGTAAATTTTTTATTCTTATTTTTTTATTATCGAGATAACAGGATTGCCACAGGTCAGGGAAATCAGGGAAAAGTCAGGGATTTTTATTCAAAGTTCTCGAAAAATATAAATTTTTAGAATTCATAAGAAAATTCTGAATTTTCTGTGTCTTTTTTGTTTGCCTTATTAGCTATGAAACTATCACGAATTCTACTACAAAACCTTCAAAAAAAATTTTCTATTTCTGACAAAAATGAATTTTTTAATATTATTTAATTATTTCAAAAATTTTAACGCAATTATTTCAATAAATAACAAAATTCTTCACAGAAATTCAATTATTTTTAGGAATTTAAATAACATTTTTTGCAAAATCCAATTATTTTTAAAAAGTTTTTCACGATTCAATAATTTTCAATATTTACTATTTTCATAAGATTTATCAAAAAATTTAATTATTAAAAAAAATTTTTGATACAATTTTACGAAAACATTCAATTATTTTCATACACAATAAAATTTCATTTAGTAATTCGAATTATTATTCATCGCAGAATTTCAAATACTTTTAATATAAATTGTAAATAAATTCCTTGATAAATGCAATTAATCTTAAAAATTTTATTAAAACTTGACGAAAGAATTTAATTTTAAGAAACATTTAATTATTCAATAAAATAATAAAATTAGTTGCAATAATTCAATTATTTTCATGAATAACTTTTAATTAAAAAATAAATAAATTAATTTTCAAAAATAATTTTAGTAATTCTGCAAAAGAATTCAATTATCTTGATAAACAACAAAATTTTTTCCATCAATTATTTTAACGTATTTTAATAAATTTCTTTTCCAAAATTTAATTATTTTGATAAATATAAATATTCATTACAAGAATTCAATTCATTAGAAAAATAATTGAATATTTTGCAAAAATTAAACTATTTTCAAAATTTTTTTAAAATTCTCGTCAAGAATTAAATTATCTTTATAAATAGAAAGCGAAATTCTTCTCAAGAATTAAATTATTGTCAAAAATTTTAATAAAATTCTAGGCAAAATTTCAATTATTTAAATAAAATTTAATAAAATTCTTCGTATGAATCTAATTATTAACATAAATTATTATTTAAACTTTTGTCAGGAATTCAATTATTTTTAAAAAATCATAAAATATTGTCGTCAACATTTCAATTATCTTTATAAATGAATAGCAAAATTTTTTAACAAAATTCAATTATTTTCAGGAATTTTAATAAAATTTATTTTAAAAAATTAAATATTTTCAAAAGCTGTTAATAAAATTCTTCGGAAAAATTAAATTTCAAGTTTTTATTTTCTAATATATATTTAACTAAAGATTTTTCAAATAATCGAAATTTCATAAAATTGAATTGTGAACATGTGGATTTGAAAATTCTCAAAGAACTTTTTTTTTAAAAATTCTAGAAAATGTTTATTGAATTGAAATGATGAAAATAATTTTTGACGAAGGTGAAGTAAAAATATTCTTTTATAATATAGAATAATGATGTTATCACACGGTCATTTTTAATTATTCTAAAACATGAAGAAAGCTATTACTCCGAGTCTTCGACTCGGAGTGATTGATTTCTTCATGTTTTATAATAATTCCCACAGTTGTTGAATTTCAAAAAAGTTTAAATTCAAAATTTTGAACTTTATTTTTCCATTCAAATGGAAAAATAATAATGATTAAATATTTATTTAAAAAAGAATTTAATGATGTTAATTTACAATTAAAGAAGTTACTAAATAGAATTAGAGAATTTTTTTTGAGTATTTAATCATTGTTAGAGTGAATCAGAATATTTTATTAGAGTCAGGGAAAAAGGCAAAATTTTATCTAGAAATCAGGGAAAAGTCAGGGGAAAACAAAGTTAAATTTTTGTGGCAACCCTGGATAAGAATAAATTTTTAATTAAAATTATTATTGACAGATAAATGCATCGGAAGTGGAAGAGATTTTAACTGCTGGACAAACTCGTTTTCCTGGCGCTCCATTAATTTGGCTCAAAGATTTAGTTGCCTTTCTAAATATGAAAATTCCTTTAGAAGTAATTGATCCCATGTTCAGTGGCAGAGCAGACGATTATCCAGCGAGCGTTGTTCCAAAATCAATTCGAACAGTTTTAGAGAAAGCCATTCAAATCAGCGGTTCACAAAATGTTCAACTTTTCTACGAATTTAATTTAACGGCAATGGCAACGGATCTCGTCAAGAATCAACCAGTGATTGGTTATAAAATTTTCATTCAACTTCTAACGAAATTCAATCCCGGAATGACAATCACTAGTATTCCAAAATTAGTAACTTTAAGAAATTCCTATCAGAATAGAAAACCAATTGGCTTGTCGATAATTTGGGCACTTTCACAAAGTGGAAAGGATAATTTAACAGTGGGTTTGACAGTTTGGCATCATGTCATATCACCAATGCTCGAAGCAAAAAATTACGCCAGTTATGTTTCGCAAATACTCAAAGATTTAATTACACGTCATTCAACAGTAAAGAATGCCGATGTGAAACCAGAATTGTATTTAAATATTGTAGATGATGTTATTTCGGGAAAACTAAATATCGCTCCTACCTATGTCAATGAATTGAAGCCTTTTAATGACAAGCTAAGAGTAAGTAGACTTTTTCCTATTTTCAACAAACATTAAATATTATTAAATATTTATACTAAATATTTAATTATTAATAAATATTTTTACTAAGTAATTATTAATAGATATTTATACTAAATATTTACTTATTGCAGGCATCACAGTTGGTCTCCTTTTGTCCCCTTATTTCAAATTTATCACCTTTTTCATCTTTTTTGACGATTTGTCACCTTTTTCCCCTTTTTTGCTGATTTGTCCCTTTTTTCACCTTTTTCTAATAAAAAATAAACAAGTTTTGCTTTTTTTGAAATCTTTTTCAAAGTGTAATCATAAAATTTAGACTCAATGTTATAGAATTCAGTGAGTTTTATTTCTGATTTAGATTATTAACACCACAACATGATATAAATATGTTTTTTTATGTTAATGATTTAAATAATATAGATATCGTAAAGAATTTTATATTATTATAAGCTGATTCATTCAACAGAATACAGACCTTTAGAAAAATAATTAATTAACATTCAAATAATTCAAATATTTATTATTAATAGTTTTTTCTAGAAAAACAAAAATTCTTATACAAAACCTTCAATTTTTTTCATTTCGTACAATAATTTCTTTTTAACTAACTTAATTCTTGAAGAACTATCATAAAATTATAACTTGGAAATTATTTAAAGAATAATTTTATTTATACATTTGAAAATTAATTGAATTTTAAAATAGTTTCGTTTACAATTTTCATAAGTAGATAAACTTGAAAAGATTTTAATTTAAAATTTTATAAAATTTCAATTTTGAATGAATTTCATTAGAAATTCTAAAAAATTTAAATTTTTGCAAAAATTTTCAAAATTTACATTGTTCTGAAATTAGTTAAATCTTATAATATATATTTAATTAATTATTAAAAATAAAGAAATTAACGAGGAATTTTAGTTAAAAACACTAAAAAAATATATAAATTTTGGAGAAGTTTCCAATAATTTCAAAAATTCAATTATTTTCAAAAATAATAAAATTCTACGCAGAAATCCAATTATATTAAAAAAAAGAAATTCTCGTCAATATTTCAATTCTCTTTATAAATAATAAAATTCTTATTTAAAATTCAATTATTTTCAAAAATTTTAATCAAATTCTTGGCAAAATTTCAATTATTTGCAAAAATTTTCCTAAATTCAATTATATTCAATATCTACTATTTTAATAAAATTTTCCAAAAGAATTCAATTATTTAAAAAATATTTATTAAAATTTTACGCAAACGTTTAATTATTTTTATAAATAATAATTATAATAATTTCACAAAAATTCAATTATTAAAAAATTTGTTGATAAAATTCTTTATGAGAATTCAATTATTCAATAAATTATTTATTTTTGTATTTAAATAATTGAATTCTCGTAGAATTTTCTGAATTTTTAGAAATAATTGAATTTTGAAAAGGTTTCAATTTAAAATCTTTGGAAATTTGAATTTTTTAAATTTTTAACTATAATAATTCTGTAAAATTAATTTTTTTGAAAAAGTTTAATTTTTTTAAAATTTAAAAATTTTTTTTAAGTTTTTTGAAAAATTGTTACCAGTTTTTTTCAATTACATATTTAATTGAAGAATTTCCGAATAATCGATAAAATTTTGTAAAATTGAATTATAAACAAATACATTTGAAAATTCGCAGAATTTTTTTTTAAATTATTGTAAATAATTGATTTAAAGAAGAATTTTAGTTAAAAATTCGGAAAAATAATAATTGATTTGAAATGATGAAAATAATTTTGAAGAAGTTACAGTAAAAATATTTTTTTAGTAGAAAATAATTATCTTATCACTCGGTCATCTTTAATTATTATAAATTATTGAATTTCAAAAAGATTTGAATTTGAATGTTTTGAAAATCTTAATTCCCATGGAAAAATAATAATGATTAAATATTTTTTTAAAAAAGAAGTTATTGCTGTTTCGAATAATTTTACAGTTAAAGAAATTCGTAAATAAATGTAATAGAACATTTTTTAAGTATCTATAATCATTCTTAGAGTGAATCGCAAAATATTCTTTAGAGAAAAAGTCAAAATTTTGTCTTGAAATCAGGGAAAAGTCAGGAAAAAACAAAATTAAATTTTTGTGGCAACTCTGATTTAAATCGAATCATTTTTAAAAATTTTTATATAAGTTATATGATGAAAAATTTAAATTATATTTGCAAGTTGTAAGTATAAACAAATAAATTTTTGTCCCCTTTTTGAAGAAAAAAATTTCCCTTTTCATCTCTTTTGAGGAAAAAAGATACTGTGATGTCTGTTATTAATTAATAATGTAATTTATTCTTTATATTAATCATTTACAATCTTTTTTCAGGAAATGGTTTTTAAGTCACCAAATTTGAAGTGTCGTTCTTTATTCGAAACGTTGATGGCAAAATTGACTCCAAAGAGTAGTGCTAATTATAGAGAAGAAATTGTTCAAGCACTGGTGGCTTGTTTAATTAAAGACTCTCAGTGCTTTAATGTTTGGAAAAATATGTACAATAAGAATTTATATCAGTCTGATTTACTTTTAAAAAATATTAGTAAGTTACTTTTTATATTAGTAGCAAATTAATTTTTCAATTACAATTTTTCTATTTTTTAAATTGAGAATTTTGCTTGAAATTTTAACCATTTTCTGTTTAGATGCCCACTGGGATACTCTAAAAGTAATTAACAAAAACAATTCGTTTTTGGAGATGCTTGAGGCCTTACAGAGTACGCACAAGAAGACTAAAAAAAATAAAGATATTCTCGGTGGGGAGTGCAGTAAAACCTGCCAAGTAAGTAATTTTTTAATTATTCCATCACTGCTATTAATTAACATAAAATTATATTTACAGGGTGGCCATATTTTTTAGTATTAAATGTAACTCATTTCGATTTTTACAGTGCGAAAAATAACTATTTAAACAATTCTTTCAAAAATTATTTTTGAATCATTTTTCTATTTAAATTTTCGAAATATAAAATTAAAAAGATTTTGAATGAATAATTGAAATTTTCTAAAATTTAATTGAAAATAATTGATTTTTTTCAAGTATTATTATTACAATTTTTAAAAATCAATTTTTGAAGAAATTTAATTGCAAATTTTCTGAAAATAATTGAATTATCAAAAATTTTAATGAAAATTCTTTAAACAAAGATTTAAAAATGAAAATTAATTATAGCTTTTAATATTTTTAAATTGATTTGGTGATGAAATTTAGTTGAAAATTATAGAAAATAATTTAATTCAGGAATATTTTACTCATTTTCCGTAAACTCTGATATTTTCCTGTAAAAAAAAATTTTGCCATCAGGGAAAATAATTTTAATGTCAGTAAATTGTCAAGAAAATTGATAAACCGAAACTTGTGACCACCCTGATTTATTTTCATCGTACGATAAATTTATTACCAATTTTAAATGATCAAAAAAAGTTTTTTAATTTAATAGTTTTACTGTATATACTAAAAATTTGTTTTTATATTCTTTGCAATATAGAATTTAAAAAAAAATCGTGTGTAAAAATTCAAATCTTAGGAAAAAATTTAAATTAAGGGAGGGGCCCGAAATGCGTATAAAATTCCAGGGCCTGACATTCCCCCACCCCTCGCCCCCTACTCGTCAGTTTGTTTACAGCTTCAGATGTTAATATTATTTTGAAATTTCGAAAAAAAGCGCAGATAATTAACGACTTATCTGTTATCAACGCCGCCCAATTAAGCTAATTAATGTAAATTTTATAAAAGTGAGTATTTGCGTACGTAATTGTTTTGACCATAATTCGGAGTATAATATTATTTTCTTTCTTGAATTTCGAGGTTAGATTTCCGTTTATTGGAGTCGTTAAATTATTGATCGCGCATCGCCTGCTTCTCGATTTCACTTCACTCTCTTTACAACAGTCGACATCGTGTCATTGATGGTCATTGACGGGAAAATAGAAAGAAAGTTTATTTGATTTTTTTAATTTTCTACATTCCCCCCCTTCCTCCCAAAAAAAAGAACATTGTAATATAGATTTGTATAAGTGAGAAAAAAAAACTGGACGCATTAAAACGTGACGAAGGTAATTGAGATATAACGACGCCAAGAGTATCCTTGAGCGAAAATTTATTTTTTGATTTGAATATGGAGCAAATCAGTTGGAATTTCTAAAAACACGATTTGAAGTTGTCAAAACGAAAAAAAGAAAACTTATTTTTATGTATATACAACATACTTTTACCACAAGATTTCTTTAGTTTTGCGCATTTGAAAAGAGAAGTGTTGGTTGTGAGGAAACTTTCGCATTTTTAGATATTACTAAAGAAAATGACAGCGAAATCCAGTAGCGGTTTTCCTTGGAAAAAAGGATGTTTCATTCTATTATTATTAATTGGTTCTCTTTTGGCATTTGATTGTCGAAAAAATGGTTCCTTCGAAGGTAAGAACTTTATTTACAATTTAGTATTTACATTTTTTTGTTGACGCATCTGAACGTTACACGTATATATATACAATACATACGAATTAGCAGTGTCATTGAAGTTTAATTTATTTATTTTTTGCTCGCTTGTTAATTTTCACATTTAAAATTCTATCTTGTGTTGATATTAATTATCTTGAATAATAATTTGACAAAGTATTACAAATAAGTGGATTTTAAATACAGAACAAATATTGTGTTATTTTTCATTTTAGAAATATTTGTTTTAAATTTTCTTTTTTATTTAATTATTTATTAATATTTATTAATTTTCTTCTCCCTTCTTTTTAAGAAATATCTTATCTTTGTATTATATATACGTTTAAAAATAAATTCATTTTGCAATATAAAAAAATATTTGCAACGTTTTTATATAATCACTTTATCTTTAAACTTTTAATGAATTATGAAAACATTCCTTTTTTTTAATTTTCTTTATAAAATTCAATTTTTTCCTTAATATTAAATTAACTCTGAAATAAATTAGATTTTTATTACATTTTTCATTAAAAAAGTTCTTATAAAATATTAAATAAAATCTAGGTATTTGAATTTGGAGTTGATTTTGTATTTTATTTTTTCCAGCATCTAGAACAAATAAATTTTTGAAAGAGAGTGGAGTATGTATGTATGGTCAAAAAGTTTGGACTTCAACTAAAACTTATTCCAATGACGGTCTCAAGTATATTGAAACTAGATTCCCTGACTATTACAAATCCACTGTGGAGTTCACGGCACCATATGTCAAATTAGGGAATGATGTTTTTATTCTAGGCAAGAACATATCGATTAAATTATACGATAATACTGCTTCTTATGTGAAGGAAAAAACTCCCGTTGTTGTTGCAACCGTAAGTATTACTACAATTAATCAACATTTTTCTATATATTTACTAAATTTTATTACATAAATTATTAAATTAAATTTTTTTTCACAATTTGCAAATTAAAATAGTAAATTATTAATTATTGATTATTCAGGCCTCGGATATTTATGACTTTTTCGACTTTTTTCGAATAATGCGACTTTTATCGACTTATATTAAAAAATTGCGACTTTTTCGAATTGTTCTTCCAAACTTTGCAACAAAATACCACATTTTTAGTATAAAATGCAACTTATTTCGATTTTTATTGTATGAAAAGTATAACAATAGACAAATCTTTGAAAAGATATTTTTGAATAATTTTTCTAATTTAATTTTTGAAATATACAATTAAAAAGATTTTGAATAATTGAAATATGGTAAAATTTAGTTGGAAACAAATAATTTTTTTTAGGTATTTTATTACAATTTTTGAAAATTAACTTTTACAAGAATTTTAATTGAAAATTTTGAAAATAATTTATTTATCAAAAATTTTAATGAAAAATCTTTAAGTGTAAATTTAATAAAAATAAAAATTAATGAAAAATTTTGTTTGTAAAAATAATATTGAAATATTTTCTAAAACAACTAATTCTCAGAATTTTTTCATTCTAATTTTTTAAAATTCAATTATTTTTAATATTTTCAATTACATATTATCGAAAAATATGTTAAAAAACGTAATTTTCCCAGGTTTTTAAAACGAAAATTATTGGAAAACATCAATAACTTCATTTTTAAATAAATATTTAATCAATATTTTTTATAAAAATTAAGAGATTTAAAAATTTTTAATTTAAACTTTTTTGAAATTTAATGCAACTATGGGAATTATTATAAAATATGACCGTGTGATAACATCATTATTTTATATTATAAAAGAATATTTTTAATTTAATTTCGTCAAAATTATTTTCATCATTTAAATTCAATAAACATTTTCTAGAATTTTTAACTGCAATTCTTCTTTAAATCAATTAAATATATTAAAAATTAAAAACTTTAAATAATTAAAAAAAATTCTATTAAACTTATTGAGAAAAATTTTCCATAGAATTTTTAATTAAAAGTATGAAAAGTTCAAATTTTCAAAGATTTTAATTTGAAATTCATTTTGAAATCAATATTTATTAGAAAATTACACGAGAATTAAATTATTTAACTATAAAAATAATATTTTTATTAAACAATTGAATTTTTTTTAAATTTAATTTTCATAAAGAATTTTATCATCAAATTTTTAAATAATTAAATTCTCTTGACAAATTTTAATAAAATTTTTAAGAATAATTGCATTTTTCGAGAAATTTGATGAAAATTGTATTAAAAATAATTGAAATTCTGCCAAGAATTTTATTAAAAGTTTTAAAAATAATTGAATTTCGGAGAAAAATTTTATTATTTATAAAGATAATTGAAATTTTGACGAGAATTGTTGTAAATTTTTAAAAATAATTAGATTTCTGCGAAGAATTTTCTTAAAATTATTTTGAAAAAAATTGAATTGTTACGCAAAGAATTGCATTAAAATTTTTGAAAATAATTTTATTCTTTAAAGAAATTCAATTAAAAATTGATTGAAAATGATACTTAAATTCTAATAAATAAATTGTAGCAAAGGTTATGAAAATAATTAAATTTCTTTGATAAATTTTAATAAAATTTTTAAGAATAATAACTATTTTCGAGGAATTCTATTAAAATTGTTTTAAAAATAATTGAAATTCAGCATTGAGTTTTATTATTTATGAAAATAATTGAATCCCTGTAAAAAATGTTGTTATTTTTTAAAATAATTTAATAGCATATTAAAATAATTTATTAATAATTGAATTCCTGTGAAATTTTTATTATCTATGAAAATAATTAAATGTTTGAGTAGAATTTTATTAAAATTTTATTTAACTAATTGAATTCTTTTAGGAATTTTTATTAAAGTAGTAGATATTAAAAATCATTGAATTGAGGAAAGTTTTTGAAAATAATTAAAATTTTGCCAAGAATTTTATTAAAATTTTTGAAAATAATTGAATTTCTGATAAGAATTTTATGACTTTTGAAAATAATTGAATTTCTGCAATCATTTGTAATTGCTTCAACATTCAATTTGTTTTAGTGTTTTTAACTAAAATTCTTCTATAAATCCATTATTTTTAATAAAACTAGTTAAATATATATTAAAAATTGTAATTAATTTCTGAAGAATTTGAATTTTAAAGTGAAATTAGATTTCAAGAATAAACAGAATAACTTTAGAAAACAACAATTTTCCAAGATTTCGATCAAAATTCCTTAAAAATCAGAGAAATATAAAATAAAATTTTTTGTGACAACACTGAATTAAATAAACGACTTTTTCGACTTTTTTCTATTTTTAATCCATTAAAGTGTCTTTTTTGATTCATTAAAGTCGATCCGAGACCTGATTATTAATAAGAGTAGTTCAATTTTCTAACTAAAATTTTCTTTCTTAGATCGAGCAATATGCTCCAGGAATGTTGGAAACAATAGAGAAGCAAAGCATCAAAGGCTTGGAGTTTATTAAGCAATCATCAACTTATCTTTGCGAGCAGTTCGTTGATCGTTCTGTGATGATGGTAAAGTGGGTGGAAACAAACGTACTCGTGTAAGTATTATTTTACCCTTTTTTTTGCACAATATTTATAAATATTGAAAAATTTTTATCTAATATATCAATTAATTTTCGACAGAGGAAAATTGAGTCCACAAAATCTGCAGAAATATGCGAGTCAAGCGATAGATACGACACAAACATTTGCAAGTCAAACGTACGATTGGATCTATGAAAAAGTGCAAACACTATCGAAAGTTCAATGAAAGAATGTAAAAGAAGATCAGCTTCTGTAGCCAACAGTCAGCTACCAAATTCCCTTCATACCTCAAGCATTTATTCATTAGATTCCAAGAGTATAGATAATTGTACAATTTATTATCAATTTTTTTTGTCGCGGTCATTTTACCTGTGATATTCCAAGAATGTACCCCGATTCAACGTCTCTATCTCTTCTGCGATTATTGGCGAAAATGCAATGGCAAAAAAGAAAAACGTGCCATTTTTTAGATTGACTATACCACCCAAGGAATCATCAAAGAAAAAAAAACATCGTGTCAAAGTATTTTGTATGTTGTTTGAGTAAAAATCTAAAAAAATAAATGACTTTTCATAAAAAAATACACACAAAAGAAAAGAACAAATAAGTGAGTATTGTTATGTAATTATTAATATAGAAAAGACTAATATTATTTGTAAAAAAAAAATAAATTGGAAAAATTTTTTCTTTAAATATTTTTCTGTAAAAAAATCAATTAGGTGATAAAAATAGACGCACAAATTTGTAGCAATAGTAAAGTATTAATTTATAAGAAATATGACCGATCATGGTTTTAACAAGAATTAGTTTCTTATATAAAGGAGATCGAAGGAATGCTCGTGACAGTGGTCACAAATTCTCACACGTGTGTTGTATATATATATATATGTACTGCAAAAGTTTTCATTTGTCACAGATAGTATTTTTTTAAAATATTTTTCGTTTTCTCTCTCTTTCTCTCTCTCTTGACACTTTCACAAAACACAGTCTTAGCGCGTATATATTTATATATAAATGCTCGAAAATAAGTGTAGTACTCGGCGATTGAAAATCTTTTTTTTTTTTCTTTAAAGCTCATACGGGAAGAAGAGCTTCATTGTATTTTTATAAATTTGATTGCAAAGATATTCCTCTTCCTCGTCCCTGAGACTCGCCAACACTTCTAAAATTTGTCTGCAAAAAAAAAAATTGAATAAGGAGAATGAAAAATACTATAATATGTAAAATTTGTTAAAAAGTTATTCAAATTATTGAAAAATATATAAACTAACACTATGGTGCAAGGTTCGTTTCGTCCTTTGACCATTTTATCTGGTTGCCATTTTTCCTTTTTCACTGAGGGGAACCGGGTGACAACGTCTTTGAATGAGGCGTGAGTTGGCCTACATTCACACCAGGGGCAATCTGTTTCGATTATCAGTCGATCGGATGGAATTGTAGTGATCACGCATAGATTTTCCTCCGTTTTTAGCGAACTTGAAAGAAATTTTAATTTTTACCATAAAAAAAAATGAAATTTTTACAAGAAAAAACCAAATATTTAAAAAAAATCAAATATTTAAAAAAAATCTATTTGTTCATTGAATTAAAAATTCAACTCGAACCATTAAAAGTATTTATTTATATAAATTAAATTTTTCATAACAATAAAACATGAAGATATCGATAACTCCGAGTCTTCGACTCGGAGCGATCGATTTTTTCATGTTTTACAATAAAGATGACTGAGTGATAAAATCATTATCAATTCAATTATTATTTTCAAGAATTTTGAATTAAAATTCTTCTTTAAATCGATTATTGGCAAAACATTTTTGTCAGTAATTTTTAATAATTTTCGAAAAAGTTCTTTGACAATTTTCAAATTTTCAAATTTTTTACAATATTCAATTTTAAGAAATTTCAATTATTCGTAAATTCTTCAATTAAATAAATATTAGTAAATAAAAACTTAAAATATAATATTAAAGAAATTCAATTAAACTTTTTAAAAAAAAATTAATTTCAAAATTCAATTATTTTCAAAAATTCACGCCATAATGCTTTTAATATTCAATTATCTAATAAAATTTCAACTGAAATTCATTTTTAAATCAATTTTTATTAGAAAATAAAACCATCAAATAATTTTAAAAAAAAATCCGCAATTAAACTTTCTAAAAAAAAAATTATTTACACAGAATTGTTAAACATGAAAAATTAAGATTCTCAAAGATTTTAATTTGTAACCTTTTCAAAATTCAATTATTTCTAAAAATTCACGCTATAATGCTTTTAATACTCAATTATTATGTAAAATTTTAACTGAAAATGATTTTTAAATCGATTTTAATTAGAAAATTCTACGAGAATAATCGAATGTTTCTCAATAATTGAATTCTCATAAAGAATTTAATCAATAAATTTTGAAATAATTTAATTCTTTTGACGAGTTTTAATAAAAATATTAAGAATAATTATATTTTTCGAGAAATTCGATTAAAATTGTATTAAAAATAATCAAAATTCTGCAATGAATTTTATTATTTATGAAAATAATTAAATTCCTAAAAAGAATTTTATTATTTACGAAAATAATTGAATCCCCGTAAAAATTTTATTATTTATGAAAATAATTGAATTATTGCCAAGAAATTTATAGAAAATTTGTAAATAATTGAATTCCTGAGAAATTTGTATTATTTTATGAAAATAATAAAAGGTTTGCGTAGAATTTTATTAAATTTTTTAAAAATAATTAAATTCTTTTGTAAAATTTTATTAAAATTGTAGATTTAAAAAATCATTGAACTGGGGAAAATATTTGAAAATAATTTAAATTTTGACAAGAATTTTATTAAAATTTTTGAAAATAATTGAATTTCGGAGAAGAATTTAATTATTTCTAAAGATAATTGAAATTTTGACCAGAATTTAATAAAAAAATTTAATATAATTGAATTTTTGCGAAGAATTTTATTACTTTTGAAAATAATTGAATTTTTGCTAAGAATTTTATTACTTTTGAAATCAATTGAATTTACAAAAAACAAATTTACGGACCTAATTCGAGCCCTGCTTGAATTTATAGCACTGAAAAAAAAAATTTATTTGATTCAAATTACCAATTAATTGACTATTATCAATTAAATATTTTCTTGAATCAAATAATAGTTATTGGAAGCAATTAAATGGTATTTGAACCATTAATTTCAGTATTTGAAGCAAATATGAATTGAACCATTTAATTGACTCCAATAAATATTATTTGATTCAATTAAATATTTAATTGATAATAGTCAATTAATCAGGTAATTTGAATCAAATAAATTTTTTTTCAGTTCTTCAGTTATTATAAAAGTAATTTATTTAATAAAAATTGCAATTACCATCCATTAATACCGATATAAAGTCCTAATTGAAGTAAACTGTAACAGTCCTCCGTGTTTCCATCGAAAGAATGAACAACGCCGGACAATTTTTTATCCTTGTGCTTTCGGAGTATTCCAACAAAATCTTCGGCAGCATTTCGGCAGTGAAGGAACATGGGTAATTTCAATGTGGAGCAAAGAGAAAGTTGCATCTCAAAATACTTTTTTTGTATGTCTTTGGGGCAAAATTGAATTCTATCGTAATCCAGACCCATTTCTCCCACTGCCACTATTTTGTCCTTATTGTTTATTGCTATCTCCAGGAGTGAACTGAGATACGCTTCAGGATCTCCGGATTCCTCAAATTCATTGCATCGAGTCGGATGGCAGCCGACTGTCGAAAATAATCTCTCTGTTGACAGAATAATGTAATTATTAAAATAGAATTTTAAATTGAATTTTATTAAAATCTTAAAAAGTTATTGAATTCTTTTGACAAACAATGAATGAAGAAAAAATTGAATTTTTTCGTGAAATTGTTTTGAAAATAATTGAATTGTTTTTGCAAAGATTTTTTAACGAATTAAGAAAAAAATATTGCATTCTTTGGTGAAATTTTTTTTTTTTTTAATAATTGAAATTGAATTTTTGCAAAAAATTTTACTATGTATAAAAATAATTGAATTCTTACGAAGGACGTTATTATTTATAAAAGTAATTGAATTCTTGCGAAGAATTTTATTATTTAGGAAAATAATTGAATTCTCGCTAAGAATTTTGTTAAAATTTTTGAAAATTCTAATTAAATTCTTTTTGAAGAATTTCTTTAATTTTTTCAAATAATGGAGTTTTTTTGATAATTTTCATTAAAAATTTTGAAAATAATTGAATTTTATAAACAATCTCTTTTAACTTTTAAAAATAATTGTTCGTTAAAAATTGAAATTAAACATTTAATTATTGAAATTTATTAAAATTTTAGAAAGTATTTGAATTCTTTTGACAAATTTTATAACGAATTTAAAAAAAATCGAATTCTTTTGAAATAGGTATTTTGTAACGAATTAAAAAAAATTGCATTCTTTCATGAAATTCTTTAAAAATAATTGATATTAAAGTTTCGCAAAGATTTTACTTATTTAAAAAATTATATAACGACAATTTTATAACGAATTAAAAGAAATTGAATTTTTTCGTTAAATTTTTTTTGAAAATAATTGAAATCGAATTTTTGCAAGGATTTTACTATTTAAAAAAATAATTGAATTGTTTCGAAGGATTTATTAAAATTTTAGAAAATAATTGTATTCGTTCGTGAAATCGTATTAAAATTTTGTTTAAAAATAATTGAATTTTTGGAAAAAATTTTACTAATTTATAAAAATAATTGAATTCTTACAAAGAATCAATGTTATTATTTATGAAAATAATTGAATTCTTGTGAAGAATTTTATTAAAATTTTTAAAAATAAATAAACAAGAATAATTAATTTGTAAATTAGTTAATTAGTAAATTTAGTTAAAATTTCTTGAAATTGTCTAGAACATTGATTAAAAAATAATATATTATAAATAAACTAACCATCCGTCCTGGCAATTTCTAAGGCTTTTCTACTTTCATTGACACTGCCAGCGGTGATTATAATTTTTGACAGATTATTTTCCCAACTTCGTTTTAAAACTTTATCTAGATCCGGTTGATGTTTCTGGGTTTCGTGATAAATCCCCTGGTACATAGGGTCTGTTAAATTTGCACCTATATCGATGAACTTTCGTAAATTTATCATCTTTTTCAGCATATAACGGTGTTTTTGATTAATCAATTAATTCTGACCAAGTCCATTTGACAGTAATTATTTAACGTGCTAGAAAGAAAAAAAATACTTTTATTGACGACAATTTTTTTATTTTCAAATTTTCTATAATCTATCAGAACTTATTTTTATTTTTTAAATGTAAATATTATGTATATTAATGTCTCACCCGTACAAGAAACATAGTTGAAAGCCATCGAGAACCTATTATCTAAAAATACAAAGTAATCCATTAAATACAATAAAAAAATACGAATAAAGAAATTATTGTTTTAGACGTGAATTTTAAGGAGCAAATTAACATAAATTAAATAATATTCATTGTAATAAATAAGCTAATCAGGTGTTTAAAAAATATAACCTACAAATTGAAAATAAGAGTCTAATATTATTCAGTGAACATACTTACTTACGTGTATATTTACTATAATTTTACTCAATAAAACAAGTCGCGATGAAATGAAAATTACAATTTTTGGTCCAGTAAAAATATCAAAATGCACTCGAATAGCAAGTGTGTTATCTGTGAACCCTGTGTGAACAATAATTACATTTATATCTTTCACTTTCCACCAACAGATGCTCTGCTTGAGTGGTAAATTCAAATCCATCCTAATAATTTATTGAAAATTGCCTGTGCTATTTAATTATTACATCTAATGACAACTGTTTCATTAGAATTAGAATAACAGACATCACAGTATCTTTTTTCCTCAAAAAAGGTGAAAGGGGAATTTTTTTTCCTCAAAAAGGGGACAAAAATTTATTTGTTTATACAACTTGCATAATTTAAATTTTTTATCATATTGCTTCTATAAAATTTTTGAAAAATGATTCGATTTTAATCAGAGTTGCCACAAAAATTTAATTTTGTTTTTCCCTAATTTTTACTATTTTTAGACAAATTTTTTACTTTTCCCCTAAAAAATATTCTGCGATTTACTCTAAAAATGATTAAATATACTAAAAAAAATTTTCTATTACATTTATTTACGAATTTTTTTAACTCTAAAATTATTCAAAAACAGCAATAACTTCTTTTTTAAAAAAATATTTAATCATTATTATTTTTCCATAGGAATTAAGATTTTCAAAATATTCAAATCTTTTTGAAACTCAACAATAATTTCTACTATAAAAAATATTTTTACTGTAACATTTTCAAAATTATTTTCATCACTTCAATTCAATTATTATTTTCTAGAATTCTTAACTAAAATTCTTCTTTAATTAAATCAATTATTTACAATAATTAAAAAAAAAATTCTAAGAATTTTCAAATGTATTTATTTACAATTCAATTTTAGGAAATTTCATCGATTATTATTTTCGAGGAATTCGATTTTTAAAATTGTATTAAAAATACCTAATTTAAATTTAATTTTAAACTTGAAATCGATTCTAATTCTAATTAAACTCTTCAAAATTAATTTCATTTCATTTTCCCTTTAAAATCTAATTAAAACTGTTGTCATTTTTACATATTTTATTAAATATTCAAAAAGTAAGTAAGAGTCTCATTTAATAGTTTATTGATAGTTCGTTTATTAACAAAAATGAGATATTTAATAATAAAGTATTTCCTCTTAGCTTACAGTAATTTATTTATCGCTCTTTAAAAATTAAACGAATGGAAAATTATAATTTTTTCCCATAAATATACAATATCTCGAAATTTAGTAAATTTACACATCAATTGCCTTTGATGCCTTTGAGACGTATTTACATATTTTGCCGTTTGTAATTACAAGTAATTTTCGAAATTAAATACAGAATTTTATCTTTTTTTTCGAAAATTAAATTTAGGTCCAAATTCTTTTTATTCGAAAAAGAAATTTTGTGCTTTAAAATGATTCACGTTTTTCGTGAATATATCACGTCTGTCTCAAAATCTGTTTTTAATCCTCTTCGTCCTCCTCTTCCTCTTCTTCAATTTCTTCTTCTTCTTCTTCTTCTTCCTCTTCCTCCAGTTGTTCGTAATCTTCATAATTATCATTGTCCTCTTCCTCCTCATTGTCTTCCTCGATTTTAATTTCCTCAAAAGTAATATCGTCCATTACTTTAACCGAAGATCGCGACTGATCCTCCGAATTACTATTCTCGCCGTCATCCCTCGTCACATTGATTTTATGCTCCTTATAGACGTGATTGACAAAATTTAATTCTGTCGACACCAATTTTCCGCAGACTTCACACTGAAATGTCGAACCATCGTCCGCTTGCAGGCAATGCGTAAACTTATTGTATCGTTTGTAATTCGTGACATTGAGTTTATGTTCGTCGTAGACATGCGAAACGAAACTCGCATCTGTTTGTAATAATTTGCCACAAACTTCGCATTTCAATGTTGATTCGTCCTCAGTTTTCAAGCAGAGCATCAATTTCTCGTAGGGCTTGAATTTCTTTTTGTGAAGTTCCAAATGTCTGACGTGATCAACTCGAAGACTGAATTCGTATTTGCAAATTTTACAATAGAGAAAATGTTTCGCAAAGCGTGTGTGTGCTCGAAGAGTTGGAAAACTTGAATAAGTTTTCAGACAAATGGGACATTGTAGACAGACATGATTTTCGAGATTTTGCACAGTATCAAAGAGAGCGGAGCAAGAATCACATTGATAGGTTTTCTTCTCCGTACAAGTGTGTTTGAACCAGTGTTTTTGCAATTGATGCACAAAATCAAATGATAAATTACAACTGTTGCAGACATAATTTTTAAAATGATCCCTTTTGTACCTAATCGTATAGGTACTCTTCACCACCTCCAAGTGACTCTCAAATATTTTCTTCTTAAAGAAATATTGATTACAAACCTCGCATTGATTTTCATGACATTTCAAATGTGAATTAAACAAATCCACGTCGTCTGTTGTAAAATTACAGTAGTTACAAATTACCCTTTTATCACTTCCCCTATGAGCGTGAGTCAATATATGACTTCTCATTCTTTGCTTCGATATAAAGAGAGCATTGCAAGCGGGACATTTAGAAAATTGCTTTTTCGAATTAAAAAAAGTCACTGAATTTGTACAATTATTTTGATTGACAAATTCCTTGAGACGAAATTGAATTGGCTCGAGTTTATCGGACAGAGAATTATCGTCATCTTCTTCTATTGTTACAACTTGAACAGATTCTGGATCGTCTTCGAGTTTCAATGGATTTTCCAAATCGGAAAAATCAGGATCACCTGTTATAACCTCTTCCTCATGATCCAATTCTAACACCGAAGTTGCGACGAATTTAAATTCTTGTTCCTCCATTTTTGGCAAATTTTCGTCTAATTGATTGTTCTTTCGTTTTTTCCTCGAATTTTCAGATTTATAGTTAGAAGCACTATTCTTAGTGCCAGAGAAAGACATTTTTTTTTGTTATCAATATAAAGAGTGTCTGAAATAAAAAATTTGTTACATTAACTAAAAGAAAATTGTAATTAATTTTTTTATTAAAAAAGTCTATTTTCCATAGTTTTAATTAAAAAAAAATTCACATTACATTCCTTGCGAATAAATATAATTTTACTTTGCTATAAATTAAAAAAAACGACCTACTTACGAGAATTTTTTTCAGAAAAATTTGCTTATGAAAAATTTCATTAACTTTTCACATTGTTTTCAACGTTTTCAACAATTCCAATATAACTAAGACACAACAATATAGTTTAAACAACGTTGTTTTTAATAAATTTGATGAATTTTTCTTTTAGGTTAGAATCAGAAAAGAATTGTTTTTACTATTCTTTACTTCAATTTTAGGCAAATTTCCATATTTACCGTTGTGATACATTAATTAATCACTTGGTACGTTAACAATAAAGACAGAAATATTGAATAAACGTTTATAAATAATAATATTAAAATGAAGAAGAGAAAATTGGAGTAAAATGACGTTTGATAAAACTTTCTCAGTGACGTAGTAATATTTCAAGAGGCCCCGAGATTAAAAAATGTTCATTACAGTGAAGTAACTAGAAGGGGTTCCTAACTTTATTTTTCCATTAATAATTATAATAATATTTATATTATTCTTGCTAGTAATTACAGGGATGTTACAAAAATTTAATTTTGTATTTCCCTGACTTTTCCCTGATTACCAGACAAAATTTTGGCTTTTTCGAAAATAACAATAACTTTTTTAAATAAATATTTAATCATTATTATTTTGCCATAGGAATTAAGATTTTCAAAACATTCAAATTTAAACCTTTTAAAATTTAATAAATTTTAAGAATATTAAAATTATTAAAGAGGATCGAGTGATAAAATCATTATTTTTTACTATAAAAATATATTTTTACTGTAACTTCTTCAAAATTATTTTCATCAATTCAATTCAATTATTATTTTATAGAATTTTTAACTAAAATTTTTCTTTAAATAAATTATTTTAAATAATTTTCAAATCCATTTGTTTACAATTTAATTTTACACGAAATTTAGTTTATTCGAAAATTATTCAATTAGTTATAAATTAAAAAATAAAAGCATGAAATAATTTTTAAAAAAAATTAATTCTGCTAAATTGTTAGTTAAAAGTATGAAAAATCCAAATTTTCAAAGATTTTAATTTAAAACCTTTTCAAAATTAAATTAAATTATTGCTTAAAATTTACGCAGTAATGCTTTTAATGTTCAGTTATATTATCTAAAATTTTAACTAAAATTCATTTTTTAATAAAAATTTATTAGAAAATTCTACGAGAATTTAATTATTTATTTCTTTATTTTACAATCAATTAAATACAAAAATAAATAATTTATTGAATAATTGAATGTTTCTCAAAATTGAATTCTTGTAAAGAATTTTATCAATAAATTTTTAAATCACTAAATTCTTTCAACGAATTTGAATAAAATTTTTGAATAATTACATTATTTCGAGGAATTCGATTAAAATTGAATTAAAAATAATTGAAATTCTGCTATGAATTTTATTAATTATGAAAATAATTGAATTCCTAAAAAAAATTTTATTATTTACGAAAATAATTGAATGTGTTTAAAAAATTGCATAGTTTATGAAAATATTGGAATTATTACGAAGAAATTTCTAACAAATTTGAAAATAATTGAATTCATTGTAAATAATTGAATGCCTATGATATTTTTATTATTTATATAAAAATACTTCAATGTTTTCGTAGAATTTTATCAAAATTTGTTTAAAATAATTGGATTCTTTTGAAAATTTTTATTAAAATAGTAGATATTTTTAGGAAAATTTTTGAAAATAATTGAAATTTTACCAAGAAATTTATTAAATTTTTTGAAAATAATTGAATTTTGGAGAAGAATAATTTTATTATTTATAAAGATAGGTAATTGAAATTTTAACGAGGACTTTTTTAAACTTTTGAATAATAATTGAATTTTTGCAATCATTTATAACTTCTCCAAAATGCAAATTTTTAAAATTGTTTTCAACTAAAATTCTTCTATAAATCCATTATTTTTAATAATAAATGAGATATATATATATATTAAAAAATTTAACTTATTTCAGAAGAATATGAATTACAGTCGGGTCCCCATACTGTTAGATTCCAAACTGTTATGTCCTCAGTAGTGTTATGTTTTTGCATAACCTCCAAATTCAGAAGTGTTAGGTGACGTCACGTTACGTCACTAATTTTCAGGGCCGTATTCTTAAGACAAAGGAAAAGGGTGCATATACTTCTAGGCCAAACCCAGTAAACGAAAACTAATTGAAATGAATTAAAAAGAATTCACAAAGAGCTTTCGTGAATCCCGCTTTGTGACAAATACGAATTGGAGCCATGATGCAATTTTCCTGAATTCGTGAAACTGTATTGAACTTCCGAACCTTCTATCCGTACCAATTCACTGGACAAGTTTTGAGCCTTTAATTTTTTTCAATTCGTTAGCACGAATTCAATGCATTCCTTGGCCATTTCTTTCGAATGCGAATTCGTTTGGACAAATTGGTACATATTGAATTAAATTCAATTGAATATACAAAGAGCTTGAGTGAATCCCGCTTTGTGACAAATACGAATTGGAGCCTACCAAAAATGTTAATTCGTTTCAATTCATTTGAATTAGTTTTTTTTTACTGGGAACTTGAGGTGTATATATTTACGTTCCTGAAAGGTGCGCAGTAAGCATAATTTGAGCACATAACAGAGCTGAGTCTGGAGAAGTGGGAAATTTCTGAAAATGTAACAGTATGGGGACCCGACTGTATTACAATTTTTAAAAAATGTAAGTTCCTTAAAATTTCTAATTAAATTCATTCAAAATTGAAATAGAAAAAATTGAGGGTTTCTTGCTAATTTTATAGCTTATGAGGCAAACAAAAAATGTAAATTTTTATAAATTAAAAATGTATTAAATAACGAAGATTAAAATATAAAAATTAAAATATACACATTATCTACATTATTAAAATTTTTAAGCACTATTTGATTTTCGGCATTTTTGTACACAATTAGTAACTCGCTTTTTACATGTATTTAAGTATTTTGTTGTTGAATTTATTAATTTGAGAATATAATAAAAAACTTATTAACAATTATATTATTAACTATTTACATAACAAGGTCCTGAGAATAAGAGAATGTTGGTAATAATTTCTTTATAAATAATCTAATTTATATAAGTTACTCGTTTCGAAGAAATGACACTATTTAAAAGAAGAAAATTAAATTTTAAGGTTATGCTTTCATTTCAACACCAAACAAAAAATTTTGGTTGGAAATAACCAGAATTTTCTGGTTTTTAACTGAAATATCGTGTTAAACATAATAGTTTACGATATTTTTTCGGTTAAATTAACCGAAGTTAGTTAATTTAGCTAGTTAATTTGACCAGAATTCTATTCAATTTGACCAGAATTCTAGTTTTCTTTATACTAGAATATCGTGTTAAATGTACCCTAACCAGAACTTTTTTTTTTCAGTGAAAAATTAGAAACATAACCTAAAAACCTTTTTTTATTCTTAGGTACCTTTCTCTTCGGAGCACGTCACATATAACGATAATAATTATTATACAGCAATTCCATTAGAATCGATATTGTCTCGTTCTCTCAATTAAAAGAAAAATAATAATAACACAGTCAAAATAATTAATCTTTACTTCGTTTCTTTTTGTGCTGATGTCCATGATAATTATAATGACCGTGATCATGAGGAAGATGAACTGGAGTTCCATGGCCATAACCATGACCATAAGCACCATGACCATAAGCACCTTGACCATAGGCACCGTGACCAAAACCATGTCCCAATCCAGCGCCATAAATTCCCTGACCTATGCCATGACCCAAACCAGCACCAAATCCCCCACCAAATCCCCCACCAAATCCCCCACCAAGACCCCCGCCAAGACCGGGAATTCCCAGTCCATAGTGGTCATGAACTGGAACCGGAACTGGAATGGGAATTGGCACCGGAACTGCATGTTTCACGGGAATTGGAAATGGATGATGTACCGGAATGGCTATTGGCGTTTTTATCGGAATTGGTATCGCTTGCTCCACTGCAACTGGAATTGTCTGTAAAGGTGAAATTTTTGAAATTAAAGAACAAAATTTTTAATATTTTTCAAATTATTATTCATTGAAAACAATCAGGAGCTTAGTTTAGCAAATTGAGCCGAAAAAAGTATCTTGCAATGCAACAATTTTGATACTTTTTTCGACTCAATTTAATATTCGTAGAAAAACTGCGAGCTTGTAACTTATTTTCATCAGCGGGAAGACAACAGAAGGTCCGGTTATAATTTTTTCAAGCTAAAAATCAGCGTTAAATATATCCAAAATTAAAAAATTTTAAATCTTAATTTTTGAAGGAACTTTCTCGTAATCTTTATACAAATACGAAATGCTTACAAGAAATTAAAATTTTGAATCTCTTTTTAATTTCGAAGGGGAGAATTTAGGGTCTTAAAAAATTATAACCGATTCTTTGATTGGGACCCTTATGGTCACAATCAAAGAACCGGTTATAATTTTTTAAGCTCAAAATCATTGCCCTGCAAGTAAAAAATTAAGCTGTTTTTAATCCCAATTTTTTGAGAAACATTTTGGTAATCTCTATACAAATACGAAATGTTTTCAAGAAATTAAAATTTTAAAGCCTTTTTTTTATTTAGAGGTCGACAATCTTGAGTCTCAAAATCTTATAACCGGTTCTTTGATTGGGACCAACAATTAATGTTTGGATCAAAATTGATATATTGTACGAAAAAAATATTGTCTTGTTGCTTTTTTTCCCTCAATTTTGTCAAATTTTAATTTTAGTAAAAATTTGTTTGCGGAATTAATATTAACAGCTTTGATAAATTTACCTGAGGAATTGGAATCGGAACTGGATATGGCTTATGCACGATCTTTTCTACAGTTATGGGGACAAGTTTTTCCACAGCCTTCTCGACAACCACTGGCTCGGGGATATGTTTTTCTATGGGTGCTGGTTTGCTTATTATATAACCCGAATAATCCTTTTCCGGAAGTGCTTCCCCATGAATGCTCGAGCCAGTTTTCCATCTAAGGTAATCATAGTTTTTTTTAAAGCTAATTAATAGTTATTTAAACTACGTGTTAAACATTCTTCATTGGCGGTAAAGATTGGCAAATGAAAAACATTGCCTCAATATGTTTTTTTTATTATTATAATATTGTTAATTATTATAATTATTTATAATTTAATTATTATAATTATTTATAATTTAATTATTATAATTATTTATAATTTAATTATTATAATTATTTATAATATTGAGAATTTTGCAGCACTATTGTAAATGTTGTTGCAAGTTTAGTTGCTGTGGGGCAACAACTTTCTTGAAAGTATCAAATTGGTACTAAAAATTAGGATCAATTTTTAATTTAATCCACATTTGTTGCAATTTGATACTTTAAAGTTAACAGAGGAATTTGTACTTACCCATCAAAATTTGCTCCACTTAGTGGAATTTCGGGTCCAGACTGAAGAGTTGGTAGCACATTCTGATGAGTTTGATGATGATGGTGATGATGATTCAAGTCTGGAACTTCTAAACTTTGGAGACCAATCCAACCGGCACTGGAAATTCCACGTTTCTGCTGCATTTGCCCATCGTTTGCATCCGCTTGTGCGGAGGTGCACAAAAGCGGAATCAGCAACTAAAAATTTGCATCTACTTTATTGAATATAGAAATTAAAGAAAAATCAATCGCCAAACAAGAATAATCTTCGTGCCCAGTAAAAAGAACTTATTTTAAGGCAAAGCGGAAATCTCAATTTAAGACAAAACCGTTGTTTATTCAACCATTTTTAAAACAGTCATAATCCTCAATTTACGTAATTAAAGACAATGGATTTTAAGACTGACCACATAAATAAAGATTTAATAACTAATTTACTTTGGCATTTGTGCGGCTAAAAAAAAATAGGGTAAGATTTCTATTTCTCACCAAGAATACCGACATTGCTGAGCTATGTTGATGGACTGTTGCGAGTTGTTGACAGAATATCGCCTTTATATTTACTCAGGGAGTGGTCCAGATCTTGTTCCCATCTTTGACCAGATCGGGAACTCAGCCTTGCCTACCGGCTCTTTTATTTCCGGGGAGGAAAAGAGTTAAGAAAATCCGTCATTAATCGTAAATTTCTTCCTCAATTCAGGAAGCTTTATACTCTCGTTTAAATTATAAACATTTTTCTTCGACGATTTATCAAAATTGTATTGTTGCATCATAAACACAAAAGAAATGGAAAAAAGTTCTATTTTTATAAATATTGAAAGCATATTTTTTAATAAACTGTTTTTAAAATAAATAAAGGAATTTTTTTCTCACAATATTTATCGTCATTTTCGCATATAGAACAATCATTCGATGTTATGCCATCGGTGACCTACTTGAAAATTTATTACTCTTTCTTCATTCCTCTCATGTCGAGTACTTCCGGTGAAATCTCAAAATTTTCATCCCCATAATTGTAGATATCTAGATCTATGCGAGGGCAATATCAAAATATTCTAACTAGATCGATTTACTATCTTCTGCTCACTTTAAAAATCGAATCTTCCTTTTAGCGAAATCCTCTAAATTTAATGCACAATTTTCTTTTTTCGTGGTTAATAAAACAAAATAATTTATTGATGTTCTGATGTTATCAAATTGAGACAAAAAAAAACGTACTTAAAAGTATCAAATTGCAACGAATTGATACCAAAAATTTGGATCAAAACAAAAATTGATCCTAATTTTTGGCGCATCAGTATGATCCACTTTAGTATCAATTTGATACTTTCTGGATCAAAAATTATGATTCTTCGTTGTTGTTGTTTTAATGAATCTTTTAGTTATAGCTAAGAAAAAGTTTCCGAGGTAAAAAACCAAAAAAAGTTTCAACTTGCAATAAAATCATTAAAATTATTATTAATTGGTTGTAAATTAATTATTAGGTATGCTTAAAATAGAAGAGAAAAAAAAGTAGAAACTATTTATTATTTTCCTTATATTGCGAGCTGAAGAGGGTGTAAACAAAGTTTATAAACTATTATAACTTTGGCTTAAATAATAACATTAATAAAAGTTATAAGTTATTTATAATATTTAAAATGAACTTGACGTCTTGTTGTAAAATTAAACTGTTTCCTTGAAACTTCAATAAAATAACATTGATAAAATAATAATGAAAAAACTATTCATAAAATATTTCTTTTTGAAAATGAATCAACTTTTATTTATATATTAATGCTCTGTTTAATCAAATTCTTATTATATGATTCAAGCAGAGCTTGAAGATTAATAAATTTCTTTCAAAAACAAAAAAAAAAAAGAAAAATAATTAATTTAACAAATAAACCATATGTGAATATTAATAATTATCGTCAATTTTTTCTAAAGGAAAAATAAATAAATAATTTTACTAATTAGATAATAATTAATTAGAAATTAATTAGCACGAAGCACAAGAAATTCCGTTAAATTTGAGAGATGTTGGTTTATTGTTGGAAATGAGTATTACATATATGTGCGACTTGAAATTGCATTGCTCTCTTTCAATATCAACTGGAACCTTTTCTTTTCCGCATTGGAATTGCATTGAAGACTTTCTTGAGACTTTCATTTTCTATCGCGAACCATTTTTATTATACTTCAATACCATCCATTCATTATTCATTATTGGCGTATTGTAAAACAATTTCTTTCCACTGTCATCATAATAATAATGTAAACTGTCATAAAAATTGTATCTATACAATAATTATGAGTACCTTATATTCATCAACGGTTTTGTGTACAACTTTTTTTCTTTTAATAACAAAATTATTTTGCAATCATATAGTAACACCTGTCTTTAATTGAATTTTAATCCTTTTTATTAGTAATATTAAAATTATTATTATATACTATTACTATCATTCTTATTATTTATTATTATTATCTTATTAATATTAATCATCATGGAAAAGATCACCTACATAAAATTGAGTGACAACATAATATTATATTACAATGGACAACTGTAATATTATGCAAAACATTTTATAACAGTTATATCAGTATTATTTCCAATATAATTTTAGGGTTGCTATGCAACCTGGAAACCTGGAAAACCTGGAAATGAAAAAGGAATTTTATAAACCTTGATAAAACCTGGAAAAGTCAGGGAATTTTGATCGAAACCCTATGGAAAATTGTTGTTTTCTAAAGTTATTGTGTTTATTCTAGAAATCTAATTTCACTTAAATATTTCAAAATTAATTTAATTTTAAAAGAATTGCGTTTACAATTTTCATAAGTAGATGGGCTTTAAAAGATTTTTACTTAAAATTTTGTAAAATTTTAATTTTAAATGAATTTAATTAGAAATTTAAAAACAACTTAGATTTCAAACAATAAACAAATTTTAAAAACTAAAATTCTTCTGAAATTAGTTAAATTTTTTAATATACATTTAACTATTTTATTAAAAATAATGGATTTATAGAAGAATTTTAGTTAAAAACACTAAAGCAAATTGAATTTTGAAGCAATTACAAATTATTGCAGAAATTCAATTATTTTCAAAAAATTTTAATAAAATTCTTGGAAAAATTTTAATTATTTTCAAAAACTTTCATCAATTCAATGATTTTCAATATCTACTACTTTAATTAAAATTCCTAAAAGAATTCAATTAGTTAAAAAAAATTTTAATAAAATTCTACGCAAACATTTAATTATTTTCATAAATAATAAAAATTTCCCAGGAATTCAATTATTTACAAATTATTTTCATATAGGGTAAGTGCGGGTATAGTCGGACAGTACTAGTAGTCGGACACTTTCGTGTTTTTTGGCAAATAAATAATAATGCATTGTGATAATTACTTTAAAAAGTATACAAAACGAATGTGTGAAGTTTATATTTTATTAAAATAGTGTTATTTTCGAAAATAATTAAACAAGAAATATTTTATTTAATGTTTTAAAAATCATGGTGTCCGACTATAGATACAGCCATTTTCGAGTAGCGCGATGAGTGGCACAAAGTTTTGTTGATAATTAATCATAAATATTAAAACTTATAGGGTTTAAATATTATATTAATAACTTCTAATATGCTTTAATTCCATTTTCCAGTAGATAGCAATTAAAAAATTATCTTTTTCACTTTATAAATTCAAAATATCTGACAGATGTCCGACTATAGAAACAAGGGGAAAAAGTGTCCGACTACTAAAGCATTTGTAATTTTTTATTAAAATGTTTATATTTTATTAAATACTCAACTATTTGTAACAATTTATATGATTTTTAATCCTGAAGAACTCCTTTAATTAATAATGTGCTTATAAACACAGAAGATATTTGCTATTTCAAGAAAAAAACCATAATTTAAGATTGTATCCTTAAGTGTCCGACTACTAGTGCATTTACCCTATTATTCAATTATTTTCAAAAATAATAACATATTTTACAGAGATTCAATTATTTTCATGAATAATAAAATTCATTGCTAAATTTCAATTATTTTTAATACAATTTTAATGGAATTCCTCGAAAAAATTGATTATTCTTGAAAATTTTATTAAAATTTATCAAAGAAATTTAATTGTTTTAATAAACTTTGCTACAATTTATTTATTAAAATTTAAGTATTATTTTTAATAAATTTTTAATTAAATTTCTTTAAAGAATAAAATTATTTTCAAAAAGTCAATCATTTTAAAAAAATTTTAATGAAATTCCTCTTAAAAATTCAATTATTTTCATACTTAAATAATAAAATTCTTTTTAGGAATTAAATTCTTTTCAAGAAATTTAATAAAATTCTTGACAAGAACTCAGTTATCTTCAATAAGTAACAAAATTTTTCGCAGGAATTCAATTCGTTTCAAAAAATTTAATAATATTCTTGTCAAAAATTCAATTATTTTCATAAGTAACAAAATTCTTCTCCGACATTCAATTATTTTCAAAAATTTTAATAAAATTCTTGTCAAAATTTTTATTATTTTCAAAAACTTTCCTTAATTAAATAATTTTTAATATCTACTACTTTAATAAAATTTTTCAAAAAAATTAAATTATTTAAACAAAATTTTAATAAAATTTTACAGGAATTCAATTGTTTAAAAATTATTTTCATATAGTATTCAATTATTTTGATAAATAATAAATTCTTTACAGGGATTCAATTTTTAATACAATTTTAATGGAATTTCTCTAAAAAAAAGTTATTATTCTTAAAAAATTTATTAAAAATTATCAAAAAAATTTAAGTACTTTTATAACTTTTGCTAAAATAAGTATTTTTTTCAATAATAAATTTTAAATTAAATTTCTTTGATGAATAAAATTATTTTCAAAAATTTTAATGCAATTCTTTGCGTAACAATTCAATTTTATTTAAAATAATTTAAATAAAATTCTTCGCAAAATTCCAATTATGTTTAAAAATTTACAAAAATTTTTTTTTAAATTTCAATTATCTTTATAAATAATATAATTTTTCTCCGAAATTCAATTATTTTCAAAACTTTTAATAAAATTCTTGCCTGAATTTTAATTATTTTTAATACAATTTTAATCAAATTTTTCGAAAAATGCAATTATTCTTAAAAATTTTATTAAAATTTGTCAAGAGAATTCAATTATTTAAAAATTTGTAAATAAAATTCTTTATGAAAATTCAATTTTAAGAAATATTGAATTGTTTAATAAAATATTTATTTTTATAGTTAAATAATTGAATTCTCGTGGAATTTCCTAATAAATATTGATTTAAAAATGAATTTCAAATTAAAATCTTTGATTTGAAGTTTTCATACTTTTAATTTATAAAAATTCTGTAGAATTAATTTTTATGAATAAGTTTAATGGAATTTTTTAATTATCTGAAGTTTTTAATTTCTAACATATTTAATTGAAGAATGTCAAAATAATCGAAATTTCGTAAAATTAAATTCTAAACAAAAGAATTTGAAAATTCACAAAGAACTTTTTCAAAAATTACCTATTAAAAAAAAATTGAAGAATTTTAGTTGAAAATTCTAGAAATAAATAATCGTAATGATGAAAATAATTTTTGATGAAGTTACAGTTACAAAGTAGCAAGTTTTAATTATTATAAAACATGAAGAAAGCGATGACTCCGAGTCGAAGACTCGGAGTGATCGATATCTTCATGTTCTATAATAATATTTTTATATGTTATTGAATTTCAAATGTTTGAATATCTTAATTTCCATAAAAAAATAATGATTAAATATTTATTTAAAAACGAAGTTATTCATGTTTACGAATAATTTTCGTATTAAAAACCTGGAAAAATTCCGTTTTTTAACCTGGAAAAGTCGGAATTGGAAAAGAGCAAAATCATGGCAACCCTGTATATAATTAAATAATACTTATGGCAAAGAAAAATTATAGTAAAATTTCAATTTTGTTTTTCAAAATGAAAAATATTAATTCACCCAATTAAATTATTAATGAGCATATAATTTAATAGCGACAATTTTTCACGTGCCACTTTCGATACCAAACGTGCTCGAGCAATTGCATTACGAGAATTTTAATTACAACCTGTTTTCAAGGCATCTCTAGGTCATTATAAAATTTTCGGTAAAGTGCCAAGCCAAGTTCAATGCTTTATTCTCTTACATATATAAGGAAAAACATAAACTATACATCTATAAATTTATATAATTTTTTTAATGAAACTAATTTTGAACCGATTTGTTTTTAACACAAAGAGAAGGTGTGATTTTTGAAAAATAAACTACATGCGCGTAAATATTAAAAAAATAATTTATAAAAATATTTTGTTTTGTAATTACAATTCCAAATAAGGCGATCGCGAGATATTGGGGAAAAACGGATATTTGGCTGACACCCAAAAGAATTAGAAACAGCGAAAGTTATATACAATATCGAATTGACAATCAATGAGGAGTTCTCCAAACTGATAGTCCTATAAATACATATAGGGGTCAGAAATTAGAGAGCAAACTCAGTTTTTCTTCAACCTCCATACTAACAGGAACTAATTATAAAATGAAGTTCATTTTGGTACATACTTAACGATTTTACAATTAAAGAAAAATTAAAAAGCAGACCTCGAGAAAGTGAATATTTGTGTCAATGGATTTTTATACAGAAAATCAACAAAAGTGTATTAGTGAACTTGAAAAGTGTTATTAATTCATTATAATTACTCGCATAGTTTGTGCGAAGAATAAAATTTTAAAATCGATTTCTCACATATTAGCTCCATTAATAAATAATCAAAACAATTCGAGTCGTTTTCTGAAAATTTAGAAGCGATTAAAACTATCAAAGATCTAACAATTAATTTAAAACTATTAATTTTATCTCGATTTTATAGTTTTAAATTTATTATAATTTAATGAAAAAATTTCGACAGCAGTGGATTCAACTTTTTTGTTCTATTTTTTGCAGACAGTGACACTGATTGCTGCTACATCGGCAGTGATAGTTGAGAAAAGGGAGAAGAGTCGTTCGATTTATTCGAAGAAACATGGAAAAAGAGGAGCTTTCGGCGTTGAGTATGGGTACCCTTTGCAGGAACCGGCGCAAATTTACGAGAAACCAAATCCGCCGGTTGCTCACGGATACGACTATGCTCATCCAGTGCATGTTCAACCAGTCGGTTAGTTTTCCTGACAACAATTTTCGGTTTGATAAAAAATAACTGTGTTTTCATAACCAATACGAAGTAATCCCTAACAGTAATGGATATTCTAGGATACTCTGAAATCCGAATCTGGAAATTAGGATATTCCTCAGTCGGAAGGATCTTTTGGGAATATCCTAATTTTTTCGGACTAATGGTTATCTACATCGATACACACTGTTAAAAATTGGATTTCAACTTTACGCCAAAAAGATTGAATCCCTGTTTCAATTCCACAAAGTGTAAATGCTTCCATTTCATTGGTTCAGAGTTTCTAGTCAATCAAATCAATTGATAGTATTCACACTTTTTGAGATTGAAACAATATAATTCTCAATCTTTAGATGTAAAGTTGTAGTCTGATTTTTAACTAAATAGACTGTTAAAAATCGGAGTCGAACTTTACACCAAATGGATTGAAATGATATTTCACAACATTCACACTTTGTTAGATTAAAACCAGATCTTTGCTAGATTTTTTTGGTGTAAAGTTTCAGTCCGATTTTCAACAGCATAGCCTAAAAATCCGGATATACTATCAGAAATTACATTAACAATAAATTATCAAAATTAAGAGATTAATTTTCAAATTCCCTCGACAGGAGTGCCAGTAAATCATCCAGTGGTGGTTCCTGAACCAATTCCACAACCGATTCCAGAACCACAACCAGTGGCTGTGCCTCATCCTGTGCCAGTGATTCACACCGTCGTGAAACACGTACCAGTACCGGTTGCCGTTCCAAAACCCTATCCAGTGCATATCGAAAAAATCGTTCACGTACCAGTCGAAAAAATCGTTCATGTACCAGTCGAAAAAATCGTTCATGTACCAATTGAAAAAACTGTTCATGTAGATAGGCCGGTTCCAGTCGCTGTTCCTAAACCCTATCCAGTTCCAGTTGAAAAGTACGTTCACGTCGACAGACCGTATCCAGTGCATGTGGCTGTGCCAGTACATGTACCGAAACCCTATCCCGTCCCAGTAGCCATTCACACTCAATATAAACCATTATATGGTGGATGGTAATTAGTACAATCTTTTCTACTTTAATGTTTTTTAAGCAATCTTAATTCGTGAATTTTTGCGGTTCGAAGCAAGATTAAATAAAACGGTTTTTCTAAGGGTATCAAATTTAGACAAAATACGAATCAAAATTGTTGCGATGCAACAATGATTCGTATTTTGTCTAAATTTGATTGAATTCTTGCATTGCGACAATTTTGATTCGTTTTTTGTCTCAATTTAATTGAATTGTTGCATCGCAATAATTTTGATCCATTTTTTGTCTCAATTTGACATCCGTAGAAAAACTATTATGATCGATATGATAATTGTCCGAACTAATTCAGATAGGACCTTGGTTCGGATAGTAGAAATTGCAATTATTTTCATTCACATTTATGGAGAAATGATTGTTTTTAAACTACTTTACTTAAATGGGCATTTCCCATTCTGCTACAATACCGAGCATCTACAAATTCATTAAGGGCATAGTATTGCATAGCAAATTGCCTGGCAAATTGCATAAAAAGTAGCCGTTCGGTATTGCAGCAGCTCACTGCAAAAATAGGTTTTTTTAAAGTAGGTATCTTACTGATTTTTAAGATGCTTTATACGTTTTAGCAGTTTTAGATATTTAGCGACATAAGATTTTTGTGAATCGTAAGATGCGACGATTTGTCTTCTTTTTGGGTAATTTAAATTAAAAATCAGATGATGGTCAATAAAATTACTTTACTTTTTCTATTGATTTCTATCAATAGATGTAAAAAATCGAAAGATTGCAGAAGATGACGAACAAGTTTGGATAGTACAAATTCGGATGAAATGATTTACAGTTCGCGGAAGAGTGTTTCGGTTTAATCGAGAGGTTCAAAAGTTGATTGTAAAAATTTGAGTGTTAAACTTTGATTCACATATATCGCACCTTTAGTGATAATATTGTTTTTATATGTACATGCTTTAAAAGTTGTAGCACCTTCGCATTGATTTAATTCTCGGTAGTCCTTGTTGAATACTTGATAATATAATTCCTTAAATTGCACATACATAGCATTGACAATGAGAGAACGATTCACGCGATATTTACCAAAGATGACTCAATTGAAAGTGCTATTCAGTTTGTAAAAATTCGTCATCAATTTCCCCAAAAACTTTTCTTTATAATTTTCACTTTTGGCAAATGTCAAATTCTCCATTAGAAGAGAATTCTAATTTAGAAGAAGAAATTTAATTTAGAAGAATTAAGTTTAATTAGCGAGCGAATACAGATCTATTTTTTAAATTAAAAATAACTGTTTGTTATTAAATTGATATGTATTATTACGAATAATAAAAGAAACGAACTTTGAACATGAGGAACAAAAAAAATGTCATTCATTAATCTTTAATTACGTATGAAAAAACTTGTTAAAAGTAAAATCTACACTATATCGGCGAGAAATATTTAATAAAGTGGATAAAAGTTGTGACAACTAATTGGTACTTTGTAAAGTCTATCTATCTATAAACTATACAAACCAATGGGACATGAAAGCGTGTCTTAAAAAAAAAACTGTGGTCGTGGGAAAGAAAATTACTTTATACATGTGTTCATGGAAGAAAGAAAAGAACAGAGGAAAGGTCAAATAGCGTTGCGGTGTTATAAATTTTTAAATAATTAGAGTCTTTACTAGCGAAGGCTCTCTCTCCTTCCTTGTGACATCATATAAACTTGAAAAATAAAACAGTACCCCTTCAATCCTAAACGCAATCATGAATGGAACACGACTTCAAGATCTATAGAATCTCATTACTAATGGATACCTCTTTTATACCACCTTCACACTCAACGGCAGGTGTTGCTCTTGACACTAGGCGCTATATATTTATTTATTTGTCAATATTCGCACTGTACTATAAGAAATGCCACTGTATTATGTTTGTGTGTAACATTTTAATCCGGAAAAAAGTTTTTTTTACATTTATTTTTAACTCTTTGATTTGCAAAAAAACTTTATGTTGTTAAACAAACAGGGTCTATTTTTGGTTCATTTATTGTTCTTTTGTACGGAACTAATTGTTCTTTTCTTGAACTTACTGTTCTTTTCTTGAATTAATTGTTTTTTTGTGGAACTAATTGTTCTTTTCTTGAATTAATTGTTCTTTTCTTGAACTAATTGTACTTTTAATTAAAGTAAGTCAATTTATCGTCAATAGTAAGTATTCAGTAAGTCAATATACCTAGTACTAAATATACCGAATGGTAATTAATATCAAAGATGGAAGAAAGAAAAAATTTCCGAAAGAAATTAAATTCGGAAAGATTGTTAACTTCTTCCACCTTTAATTGTACTTTTCTTAAACTAATTATTCTTTTCTTGAACTAATTGTTCTTTAAAAAAAAAAAAAAAAAATATCTCAATTTAATGCAAAATTATAATAGCACGTGCATTTTGAAATGAAACAAAAAAAAAACTTTTAATACAAAGTCATTGGATTGGAAAAGGGAGGCGTAAATCTTAAAAAAATGAAATGAAATTATTGTCATTTAATGAATTGTTATATTGTAATCTCGTGATACAACAATCATTTTTGAAATATTATTATATATTTTATAATTGGTAATAAAATAGTATTGTCAACTGCGCAACTCGACAATTTCATATGCCAATGAGATTTTACAGGTATATCCTGAGGAGTCAGGGGGAAGTGTATTAGTGTAATGTAACAACAAATTATTATCGTCAGTCACTTGTCATTCCCGTAAGAAGCACTAATATCATACAAAAAAGAAAATGACTTTTCAGAACTGTGAATATGTAGAAGAGTTTTTATTTAACAATAAGGAAAATTTTTAATTCCTTTAAAAATTCGGCAAATTTATTAAAAAACAAAAAAAAAGTTTTATTTTTTTATAAATAAAAAAAATGCCACTCGGCCCTAAATAAGAAATTAAAAATTAATTTTTTTTTCTCTCGAAAGTTTGCCGAGAAATATTTATTTCTTCGAAAGAGTGTTTAAATTTTTGTGTAAAGAAAGTTGAAAAAAAAATTTTTTTAAACGAACTCGAAAGTTTTATAGTTTACTGTTTTAAAAAAGAAAGTTAGGTGAATTGAAGCAAGTTTATTCTTTTTTTGTCACAACCAATTTGCCATTAAAAAAATGCAGCTTCCAATGAAACTTGGGATTGCTGGAGGGGTGATGTTCTCTCTTTCAGTTTTCTTCTTTATGATTGCATTTCCGAAAATTTTAAAATCAGTTATTCACAAGGTGAGATGAATTTTATTGAAGAATTTAATTGCACTAAAAATTAGTTGTTAATAGCATTTAAATTTAAATTTACAAGAATTAAAAATTTTTAATTTTAAATATACTCATGTAAATTGAAATAAAAATTCAGTGTTTATCAAATTCAAACAAAGGATTATTATCAGAAGTAAAACGATATGTATGCCACGAGAAAGATTATTAAATTAATTAATTAAATTATAATTATAAATTAAATTAATTATTTAATTATAATTATAAATTAATTAATTAATTAATTAATTAAAATTGATAAATTATCAGCTAACTTACAGTAATATTAAAGAGACTGTTGAACTTGACAAACACAATATAAAGTAAATCCTTGAGAGTTTGTATTTTTTTATGCGAATGATGAAATTATACCGTTAAGAAGAAGTCTCAATTATAAGAATAGTCCATGTAACATTTCATTACGATATATGTGCACATTATATAATCGAAATAATTTTTTAAGCAAAAAAAAAAAGAAACGTTTATGTTTTACGAAAAAATAATTTTTATATTATTTGAAACAGTAATATCATTCTTATTTTAATTGCAATGCTTAATATAGTGATTATTAATTAATTGTAGCAATTTTCGTTATAACGTGAAATTATACCTTGACAGATTTTTTTTAGTACTTTGTAGATGAGTTTTAAATTTATTAGACAGTAAATATATGGATTTTTTAACGTCATTGTGTTTTTAACTCGTAGTTTGTTGTAATTCAGATTTAAAAAATTTTTTTCAAACGTTAATCTTGATTCCAATCTATAGACAAATTTTTCCACCCATCTAATAGCGATTTTAATATTACTGCACAATATTTTGCCTATACTTAAATAAATATTTAATATTCTTTTTTATATTTATTTTATATTTATTTTATATTATATTTATTTTTTATTATTTTTTTTTACTTTTTTTTTAATTTTTTTAATTTTTTAAATTGCAAAAAAACTGAATAATCATCAAAGTTTTTCGCAACTTGTCATAACCTCATCATATTTTCTTTTATGTATTTTTATTTAAAATATAAAACATTTGCAATGAAATAATAAATACTTTATAATTTATCAATAGTGTCTAATTATAAATTGTGTTTAGATTTTATTGTACCTAATTTAAAAAAAAAATTTTATTGCAAAATAAAAACTGTATAATACAAAATATGTAAAAATACATTTCGGTTGTTTTAGAGGAACAAGTTATATATATTATAAGAATATTATACTATTCTTCAAAATTATTTTCATTACTTCAATTCAATTATTATTTTCAAAAATTTTTAACTACAATTTTACTTTATATCAATTATTTTTAATAATTTTCGAAAAAGTTCTTTGGCAATTTTCAAATCCATTTGTTTACAATATTCAATTTCACGAAATTTCAATTATTCCTAAATTCTTTAAATGCATAAATTAGAAAATAAAACCTTCAAATAATATAAGAGAAAATTCAATTAAACTTTTTCGAAAAAATTAATTTCAAAATTCAATTATTTCTAAAAATCCACGCTATATTGCTTTTAATATTCAATTATAATCTAAAATTTTAACTGAAATTCATTTTCATGAAATGAAAATCAATTTTTATTACACGGAGAGAAGGGCGTAGTAGATTCTACTGACATGGCAGTTAAATCTACTAAACAGAATCGTTAGGTTTGGACTGACGGTACAGACAGTGCCATCTACTGAACTGTTTAGTAAGATAGTAAGATACACTGAGCAAACAGTATATTCTACTAAACAGAGAGGTGTCGTAGTGTATTATACTAAACATACAGTTGGCGCCACTAACCGGTGCACTAAATGATTTACTAAACGCGTTCTGTCACATTTACTGCAACTCTTCTCTCCGTGTAGAAAATTCTACAAGAATTTAATTATTTAAATGCAAAAGTAAATAATTTATTGAATAATTGAATGTTTCTCAAAATTCAATCCTCATAAAGAATTTTATTAAAAAATTAATAAATAATTGAATTCTTTTGTCGAATTTTATTAAAACTTGCATGAACATATTTACTTTTTCCAAGGAATTCAATTATAATTGTATGAAAAATAATTGAAACGCTACGATCAGTTTTATTATTAGTAAAAATAATTGAATCCTTAAGAAGAATTTTATTACTCTTGAAAATAATTGAATTTCTGCAATAATTTGTAACTTTTCTAAAATTAAATTTTTTTCTAGTTTTTTAAATAAAATTCTTCAATAAATCCATTATTTTAAATAATTTTTAAAAAAGTTCTTTGAGAATTTTCAAATTCATTCGTTTACAATTCAATTTTACGAAATTTCAATTATTCGGAAATTCTGCAATTAAATATATATTGAAAAATAAAAACTTGAAATAATTTCAATAAAAATCCTATTAAATTTGTAAAAAGAATTAATTCTACAGAATTGTTTGTGAAAAATATGAAAAATTAAGAATTTCAATGATTTTAATTTGAAACTTTTACAAAATTTAATTATTTCTAAAAAATCACGTTATAATGCTTTTAATATTTAATTATAATCTAAAATTTTAACTGAAATTCATTTTTAAAACCATTTTTATTAGTAAATTCTACGAGAATTCAATTATTTAATTACAAAAATAAATAATTTATTAATTTCATGTTTCTTGAAATTAAATTCTCATAAAAAATGTAATCAACATATTTTTTAAATCATTAAATTCTTTGGACGAATTTTAATAAAATTTTTAATAATAATTACATTTTTCGAGGAATTCGATTAAAATTGCATTAAAAATAATTGAAATTATGCAATGAGTTTTATTATTTATGAAAATAATTGAATTCCTTTAAAAATTTTTATTATTTATGCAAATAATTGAATCCCTGTAAAAATGTTATTATTTATGAAAATAATTGAATTATTGCGAAGAAATTTATAAAAAAATTTGTAAATAATTGAATTCTTGTAAAAAATTTTATTATTTATGAAAATAATTGAATGTTTGCGTAGAATTTTATTCAAATTCATGAAAATAATTGCGAAGAATTTTATTAATTTTGAAAATAATTGAATTCTTGAGTTAAATATTGTTATTTATGAACGAAAATAATTGAATTTTACAATGAATTTTATAAAAAATTCCTGAATATAATTGAATTTCGGCTACGAATTTTGCTATTTATAAAAATAATTGAAATTTTGAAGACAATTTTCCTCGATTTTTTAAAAATAATTAAATTTCTGCGAAGAAATTTATAAAACAATTTGTAAATAATTGAATTCCTGTACAAAATTTTATTATCTATGAAAATAATTGAATGTTTGCGTAGAATTTTATTCAAATTTTTTTTAATAATGAAATTCTTTTGGAAAATTTTATTGAAATAGTAGATATTGAAAATCATTGAATTTTAGAAAACTTTTGAAAATAATTGAAATTTTGACAAGAATTTGATTAAAATTTTGTAAAACAATTGAATATCAGAGAAGAATTTTATTATTTATAAAGAGATTTGAAATTTTGACGAGAATTTTTAAAAATTTTTGAACGCAATTGAATTTAGTAACTATGTTACTAAGTTAGTTAGTAAGTTAGTAACTAAGTTAGTAACTTACTATTCTCCCTGGTGAAGTTAAATTCGTTGAATTTTTACAAATCGTTGACTTTGGTGTTTTATTTAAAGTAAAATTTCATTCATAGTTAAAAATAATACCAAAATAGATTATTTTAATCCTGGAGGTATTAAATTGTTGCAGATTATTTTAATCCATTCTGGTGCGTTATTTTAACACCTCACGTTTTACTGTGCTAAAATTTATTTGTAATAAACAAAAATTTAAATACCGATTCAGATAAAAATTAAACTTATATAATTTAAACACATCTGTAAAAATTTAGTAAATAACAATAATTTGATTAAATATTGTGTAAATACGTTTCTTTTAATCATCATATCGGTATTTATGTGACAAAGTTTAGTAAATAGCAAAATTAAGAAAAAATTGCAATTTCCGAGTTAAGTTCCATTAAAAGTTGGTAAAAATCAATAATAATTTGTTTAAAAATTGTTTAAATAATAATTTTCTTTTCAAACTGCATCGGTATTTATATAAAGTTTAATGATAATTTACATAATTAAGAAACAAAACTGCTAGTGTAAAAAGTTAGTAAAAAAACAGTAATAATTTATTTAAGCAAATAATAGTTCTAACTATTTTCATTAAATATTTTATTTCATATATCGATTCAATACTAAGTATAAGGATGAAAAAAGGTGAAATATAGTGAAAACCGTTCTAGTGAAAACTTGATTTGGAAATGTTATAAATTTTGCAATAATTGTTTAAGTTAAAAAGTTCATTAGTAAACTTCATTATTTGATAATATGAGATATTAAACTTTGAGGAATTTTAGTCCTTTTTGCAATATACAAATAGAAAAATGTTTCAACTACCCAGAGTAGCCCGTGCTCTGTAAAGAATTAATTAAAAATAACTAATTAGACAATAAAAAGTCAGTTACTAATTCAAATGTAGTAAAATTCTACTATAGTATTTAATAATAATTTAATAATACAAATTATTAGTTAAACTTACTTTTAGGTTAAAATAATTTTAGGACAAAATAATTACAATTTTTGATAACTAATTATCTATCTTATCTTATCTTATCTTCAAGTACATACCATTGTTTATTTACTAATAATTAGTAATTTTCTAAGTTCTTTTTTTAATTTTCTAATTAGTCATTTTTTTACGAATTGTTGAAGTAAAAAGTCTAATTTGACTAATAATTAGTTATTTTTAATTAATTCAAATTTCGAGAGTGGTAGTCTGCAAAAAAGTTCTTGCTTAGCAGAAAATTTAAGATTATGATGAACTTAACAAACTCAAATTTTTTCTTTTTTTTATAACAGAAAAGTTCTTTGTACCCTGGAAGTGAAATCCGTGAATTGTGGTCGGATTTACCAATTCCCATAGATTTTAAAATTTACATGTTTAACATAACAAATGCTGAAGATATTGAAAAGGGTGCATATCCACATGTTAAGGAAGTTGGTCCATTCTTCTATGAGTGAGTCTTACAAGCACGAAAATTAATTATTGTGGCTAAAGTATGGAAACCCTTAAATATTTCTAAAATCCTGTATTTTGGAACAAAAGTTGGGCTTAAAGAATTAATTGATTTTACTGTCCAACAAGTTTTGTTTGAAAAAATTTTGCTCAAAAATGACAGATTTTTGGAAATATTTAAGAGGTTCCATTCTTTAGCCCCGTGCGGAAGAAAGTGAATAGTAATAATTTTGTTTGAATGTTTTAAATTTCAGCGAATGGAAGAAGAAAGTAAACTTGATTGATCATGAAGAAGATGACACATTGGAGTACAACATGAAAAATTGGTGGGTCTTTAATCCGTCAAAGAGCAACGGATTGACTGGAGAGGAGGAAATAATTTTCCCACATGTACTTATTCTAGGAATGGTTATGGGAACCCTTAGAGAAAAACCAAGTGCCATTGGAATAGTTGGTGAGTTTGAGTTATGTAACAGTTTAGTGTTCAACTAATTTTTCCTAATTTTGTTTCTTAGGTAAGGCAATTAACAGCATTTTCCACAATCCAAAGTCGATATTTATTAAGGTTAAAGTAAAGGACCTTCTTTTCGACGGATTACCTATTGATTGCACGGTGACTGACTTTGCTGGCAGTGCTGTATGCAGTATTTTGAAGGAACAAGGTGAAGATGACTTGATAAAAGAAGGTGAAGGACGTTATAGATTTTCCTTTTTCGGTGCCGTAAGTATCAGAGAATTTAGCCATAAGAGAAAAAATTATACTGATTATACTGTTTAGCCATTAGGAAAAGCTGGTTTAAAAAATATCTCTTTTCTATTTAGAAAAATTACTCGACCTATAAGGAAAGTTTACGAGTTTATCGTGGAATAAAGAATCCAGATGATGTTGGAGTGGTTACGCATTATGGTGGAAAACCAGAGATGACAATTTGGAGAGGACCGGAGTGTAATAAATACGAGGGAACAGATTCAACCATTTTCCACTCCTATTTTTATGCAGATGAAGATTTGGTTTCGTTTGCTCCGGATCTTTGTCGAAGTTTGGGAATAGAATCTCAAGGCAAGAGCAAGTACGAGGGCATTAAAACGAATCGGTATGCTGGTGGTCTTGGTGATACGAGCTCTGATCCAAAACTTAAATGCTTCTGCGAAACAGATGACACTTGCCTTAAGCAAGGACTTTATGATTTAACAAGATGCGTTGGAGCTCCCATTGTTGCATCACTTCCTCATCTTTATGACGTTCACGAAATGTATCTCAAAAATGTCACTGGAATCAGTCCCAACAAGGTAGAAATTTTCACAATTTCTCTGAATAGAGTGGCGAAAGTAGAACTTTTCTCAACTGCTCTCAACTGCTCTGAATAGAGTGACGAAAGAAAATTTACCGTTGCAAAAGTAGAACTCTTCTCAACTACTCTGAACAAAATGGCAAAAGTAAATTTTAACGTCAAAAATAAAAAGAAATAGTATAACATCATATGATTTACTTTGGCTACGAGATGTTCAGAGGAGTTGAAAAAAGTTTTACTTTCGTCACGCTTTCTTATAACATGAACAGGAGGTTGCCACAAAAATTTCATTTTTTGACTCAAAAAAATGTTCTATTACATTTATTTACGAATTTCTTTAATTGTAAAATCAGGGTTGCCAAGCTTTTTTCTCTTTTCAAAATTCCCTGACTTTTCCAGGTTTTCCAGGTTAGAAAACGGAATTTTTCCAGGTTTTTAAACCGAAAATTATTCAAAAACATCAATAACTTCATTTTCAAATAAATATTTAATCATTATTTTATTTATAGAAATTAAGATATTTAAAAATTTGAAAATCAATAACTAAGAATATTATTATAAAACTTGCTACTTTGTTACTGTAACTTCTTCAAAAATTATTTTCATCATTACGATTATTCATTTCTAGAATTTTCAACTAAAATTCTTCAATTTTTTTTAATAATTTTTAAAAAAGTTCTTTGTGAATTATCAAATTCTTTTGTTTACAATTTAATTTTACGAAATTTCGATTATTCTAAAATTTCTCAATTAAATATATTAGAAATTAAAAACTTCAAATAATTAAAAAAAATTCCATTAAACTTATTGAAAAAAATTAATTCTATAAAATTCTTAATTAAAAGTATGAAAAGTTCAAATTTTCAAAGATTTTAATTTAAAATTCATTTTTAAATCAATATTTATTCGAAAATTCTACGAGAATTTAATGATTAAACTATAAAAATAAATATTTTATTAAACAATTGAATGTTTCTTAAAATTGAATTTTCATAAAGAATTTTATCAACAAATTTTTAAATAATTAAATTCTCTTGACAAATTTTAAAATAAAAATTTTCAAGAATAATTGCATTTTTCGAGAAATTTGATGAAAATTTCATTAAAAATAATTGAAATTCTGCCAAGAATTTTATTAAAAGTTTTGAAAATAATTTAATTTCAGAGAAAAATTTTATTATTTATAAAGATAATTGAAATTTTGACGAGAATTTTTGTAAATTTTTAAACATAATAATTGGATTTTTGCGAAGAATTTTATTAAAATTGAATTGTTACGCAAAGAATTGCATCAGAATTTTTGAAAATAATTTTATTCTTTAAAGAAATTTAATTTAAAATCCATTGAAATTTGAAAATAATACTTGAATTCTAATAAATAATTTCTAGCAAAAGTTAATAAAATAATTAAATTTCTTTGATAAATTTGAATAAAATTCTTAAGAATAATAACTTTTTTCGAGGAATTCTCATAAAATTGTATATTAAAAATAATTGAAATTCAGCATTGAGTTTTATTATTTATGAAAATAATTAAATGTTTGCGTAGAATTTTATTAAAAATATTTTAACTAATTGAATTCTTTTAGGAATTTTTTTTTATTAAAGTAGTAGATATTAAAAATAATTTAATTGAGGAAAGTTTTTGAAAATAATAAAAATTTTGCCAAGAATTTTATGAAAATTTTTGAAAATATTTGAATTTTTGAGAAGAATTTTACTACTTTTGAAAATAATTGAATTTCTGCACTCATTTGTAATTGCTTCAAAATTCAATTTGTTTTAGTATTTTTAACTAAAATTTTTCTTTAAATCAATTATATTTAATAATTTCTGAAAAAGTTATTTTTTTAATTTTTTAATCCGCATTTGTTTGTAATTCAATTTTACGTGAAATTTTGAATATTCGGAAATTCTTCAATTAATTATATTATTTTAATTATTATTATATTATTATATTATATATAATTAAATATACATTAGAAAATAAAAACTTCAAATAATTTAAAAAAAAAAATTTACTTGAATTTTTTCAAAAAAAATTTGTTTTACAGAATTGTTAGTTAAAAGTATGAAAAATTCATATTTTTAAAGATTTGTATTTGAAATCTTTTCAAAATTCAATTATTTCTATAAAAATGCATGCTATAATGCTTTTAATATTCAATTAAATTATCTAAAATTTTAACTGAAACTCATTTTCAAATCAATTTTTATTAAAAAATTCTGCGAGAATCCAATTATTTAAATACAAAAATTAATGATTTATTCAACAATTTAATTAAAATTTTACTGAAATTTATTATATTTAAGAATTTAATAACAATTTTCGAAAATAAGTTGAAAAAACCGGAAAAACTTTTTAAAGAATTTTATAAAAATTTTTTAAAATAATTTGAATTACTGAGAAGAACTTTTAAATAATAATTTATGAAAATAATTGAATTCATGCGAAGAATTTTATTAAATATTGATTAAATAATTGGAATTTCGCCAAAAATTTTATTAAAACTTTTGACAATAATTTAATTCTTGAGAAGAATTTCGCTGTCTATTTAGAAAAATAATTTAATTCTTGACGAGAATTTAAAAAAAATTTTGAAAATAAATAATTTAATTTCTCCAAATTATTTTATTACTTTTCAAAAGAATTGAATTCTTGTTATGAATTTTAATATTTATCAAAATAATTGGATTTTGAAAAATAATTTCTTTATAAAATTCCTTAAAATAATTAGGAAAACTTATGGGATAAATTTACTTTGTTTATCAAGATAATTGAATTCTTTTGCAGAATTACTTAAAAATTTTTGAAAATAATTGATTTTCTGCGACGAATTAAAAGTTATTTATGAAAATATTTGAATTGTTTCCACGAATTTTATTATTTCTTTGCATTAATTGAATGTTTCTTAAAATTCAATTCTTTCGTCAAGTTTTAGTAAAATTTTTTAAGAATAATTGCATTTTTCGAGGAATTTATTTAAAATTGTATTAAAAAGTTTTCAAATTCTGCGATGAAAATAAATGAATTCCTAAATAACGAAATTTAATTATTTATAAAAATAATTTATAATGTTTTAGTATAGAATTGGATTAAAAATTTGTTTGAATAATTAAATCCTTTGATAAATTTAATGAAAATATATTAAAAATTATTGAATAGCGAAAAATTTTTGAAGATAATTGAAATTTTGCCAATTTTTATTTAAATTTTTTAAAATTGAAATTTTGCCAATTTTTATTTAAATTTTCGAAAATTGAAATTTTGCAAAGAGTTTTGTTTTAAATTTTGAAAATTGAAATTTTGCAAAGAGTTTTGTTTCAAATTTTGAAAACTGGAATTTTTCAAAGATTTTTGTTTCAAATTTTGAAAGTAATTAAAGTTTTGGCGAAAAAATTTTTCTATTTGTAAAGATAATTGAATTTCTTCAAACAATTCTATTACTTTTAAAAATAATTAAATTCTTGTAAAAAATATTGTCATTTATGAAAATAATTGAATTTTTGCAGAGAATTTTATTAAAATGCCTCAAAATAATTGAATATTCGGGAATAATTTTTTTTATTTATCGAGATAATTGCGTTAATTTTCAGAATGATCATGAACTCTTCGTGGACTTTGAACCAATCACTGGCACACCAGTGTCTGGAAGAAAACGACTTCAATTCAACATGTTCATTCAACCAGTGGATAAAATCAAATTAATGAAAAACTTTCCCTATTCTTTGCTACCACTTATGTGGGTTGAAGAAGGTCTCGCTCTCGAAGGAGATTTCCTCAAGCAATTCAAAGCCGTTTTTCGAGTTTTCAAAATCATCGCGTAAGAATTATTTATTTAAAACAATTTAATTAATTTTCTCCCTCTGCTGTTACTAACAGATGATTATTATCATCAGCAGACTTATTATATTAAAAGTTAAAAAATATTAATTATCCTTTTTCTCAATTTTCAGGGCTATCAAATGGATTTTATTCTTTGCCGGATTAGGATTGGGTGGAACAGCAGGGTACTTGCAATATAAACAAAAAAAGGCAAATTCCATGGAAGTTACAAAAGTGACAAAAAGTGCAGGCAGTAAAGGCAGCACTACGGTATCTGCGCTTGGTGGCGAAGGGGGGGAGGAGAAAAAACAATGGCCCCTTAATGTTCAAACACTTCAATCAGTGAATTCTCCACCAAATGTGGAAAGATAAATTTTTTTTCTTTTTTCAAGAAAAAAATTAAACAAAACTTTTTAATTTTTTTTTTTTTAAATTGCGTTACAAATTTCTCTTTATAGAGAAAATGTCAAAAGTTCCTCATGAAAATTTATATTATTTAGCCTAATTTCTTTTTAAACTATACCCATGAGAAATATTTTAACTATACCGCATTTTTGCCATTTGCGTATAAATTATTTTTATTTATCAATTAAAATACTTTGACAAATTTATTTATTTTGTCAAAGTATTTTTCATATTTAAAACAAAAAATTATTATTTTCTTCAAAAAAAAAGGAGAGTAATAATTTATACCTCCCGTTAATAGAAAAAACTAAAAAAAAAAAAGGAAAATGAAGTAATATTTTTATTAACTTAATTATGATTTTAAATAATTATTTTTTTTTTATTTTAAATTCTTATTGAGAAAAAAGGACTTTTCACTTCATTATTTTTTTTAACTTCAGAAATCATAGTCAAATCTAAATTATTATATTTTATTTTAGTCTTTAAATTTATGTTCTAATTATTTACTTTTATTATTGATTATTTGAGTTAATAATTTTTACTTTTTTTTACTTTTAATAACTAACTTTTGTTTTCTCTTAAAACTGTGTACATATGCAAATTATATATTAGTTTTTAAAAAAATTATATAATTTGTAATTAAAAGTATTAACAAATTTAATGATTATTGTTAAGCAAAAAAAAAATTTACAATCTCAGAAATTTGTCAGATAATCTTTAATTTATCGTCTTCTATCAAAAGGGATTCCACGAAATCTTTTTTTTTCTAATACTTTTTTCTTTTCATCAAAAGATATATTAAATAAAATATCATTTGCAATTTCTACATTAAATAGAATTATGGAGTGTCCTTTAATAATTTTTAATAAAATCAATTTATGATTTTAATTATAGTCAAGAATTTAAAATTATATATTGGTTAATAGTGGTCGAATAAATTTTTTTGAATTTTAATAAAAAATCAGCTGCCGCACATTTTTATAATAATCTCAACACAATTTTCCAGAATTATATTCACTATATAATATAAATAATATATTTATTTTTAGTAAAACCATAACATTAATCTCTGCCATGTAATTTTATTTTACTTATATAATTATTAGATTAAAATTTAAATTCATTGCAAAAAATTACTCTTTCAAATTGTTTAAAATTTCAATTTTAAATTTTAATTGTATAAATAATATTCTTAATTCAAAGAATTTTTACAAAAAAATTTAAAAAGACTTAGAAATTAAAAACATTTTAAAAATTATTTTTTTCGGATTACTATCTTGATTTTGAAATTTAAAAATTCCTTTCTTTAATCAGTTAATGAAATGTCATAAAAAATATAAAGAAATATTTACAAGGAAAGTTTATTTTAGAGATTTTATTACAAAAATTTTATTCTACTCTTATTCACTTACAAAATGTTTTATTTAATTTTTATTTATCTTGAGCTTTTTTATTTAATTATTAAAAATCAAAAATATTATTTTAATTCAGTAGTGAAAGGTCCATGTCATTAGCGTCGACGCTCAGCGTTCAACAAACTTTTGTTCCCCAAAAATTAATGAAACAATTTCTTTAATTTTTCAGGTGAAAAAAGTGCCTTAAACTTAATTTTAACCCTCGAGTGAATAAAAGAAGTAAAATTAGTGACAATTTGTAAAAACTCTCTAAAAATCCCAAGAAAATAGTTTTCGATTTTGAGCGTCGACGCTAATTTCAGGAACATTTAGTGAAGCTAAACATATATGAATGTTAAAAATGCATTATTATTATTATTATTATTATTATTATTATTATTATTAAATAGTTTATTTAATATAACATCGGGAATAAAATTTTTTACTCATACAGCGAAATGTATTAAATTTAAAAAAAAATAAATCTTGTTCTCTTAAAAATAAAAAATTTTCATTTAAATTCTGCATTCATTTGAGTTTAATCGATAAAAAATTCGATTTGTTTTTAACTGAATCATGTTCTAAAAATAATTCTTTTTTGAATATATTATATAATGATTTTTGCAACTTCTATATTCATATATTAATAATAATTTTTCATGTACAATCTATGATATAACGAAACACTAATTATACGCTTTTTTTTTGTTAATAGATTTTTATTGAATAAATTAAATTAGTGAATAATGAGAGAAGAAAAAAAAATGTATGCGAATGTATATTGTATTGGAATAAAATTATACAATTGAGCTTAAATCTTTATTATTTAAATTATTATTATTATTATTTAAATTTATTATTTAAATTGTGAGTTTTGTTCGGCACTAACACTGTTAACTAAAAAGAATCAAATTGTAACAAATTGATATAAAAAATGTGGAATTAAGTACAAAATTGATATAAATTTTTGGTATCAATTTAATCCTTCATTTTTTTTACAGTTGCATTTGAGAATAATTTATGTTAAATGCATATCTTCACAACTGGTTTTCTAAGTACAGGGGTTTTACAAACTAGTAGCAACGAAAAAGAGGAAAAAGTTTTATTTAAAAAAATTTTCAAATAAAAATTCTTCTATCAGTGAGAAATAATTTATAATTAAAATTCAAGAACCGCATTTATAATCACGTACCAAGTATTGAGGATTCGATCATGACAGACAAAAGTAAATAAATTTCTTACTTGACGAACACAATATTGTACACGTGACAAACTAAGGAAGTCACATTTTTTAATCGGCTTTTAGTTTTGCATTTAGCTTTCAAAAATTGTATCTACATTGGAAAAATTTATTTGATTCAAATAAACAATTAAAAAAAATTACAATTACAATTACAATTACAATTACAATTACAATTAGTAAATAATTTTTATTCAAGTTCATTGTTACTCTTTAATTTTGAATTAGTAATAAAAATGTTTAGTAATTTTGAAATTAGTGTCTGATTTTTTGCTTTTAAATTAGTAAATTTTATTAATAAATTATTAAAAAAATAATTTAATTTTACTAATAAATTACTATTTATTGGTGAAATTAAATTCCTAATTATATATTAATAAAATTTACTAATTTAAAAGCAAAAAATCAGACACTAATTCCAATTATTATTAATTAAAAAATTTACTATAATTCAAAAGCAAAAAGTAGTGGAGGATTTTTCCTACATTGAAAAATTGTTTACAAATTTAAATTTAGAGAGTTTATTTACACTGAAATTAATGGTTAAAATGTTCATTTTATTTAAATAAAAATTATTTGATTGAAGTAAATATTTCTTTGATAAAAGACAAGTAATCGTTTATTTGAATAAAAATAAATGTTTCTTTCAGGTGTATTATAATTTCGTGTTCAAAAATATCTAAAGTATGTTTTTTTTTTTTTGAAGCTAAAATAATTTTTGAAACATTGTTATTATAGTCAGATAGAAATTAATTTTTTCGTTTTTCACCTTTCCATTTTAGAATTCAAGAAAATAGGTACAAGATAAAGAGTCAAAGTTCAAAAAGTATTTACCATTATATACCTTTATCTCTCGTCCGATGTCAAAAGAGCGATAAAAAGAACAAATATCAGATTCAGTGAAAGTAAGTAATATAGAAATTTTTTATTACACTATAATAAATCGTGTCATCACTTAAGTACACGGAGAGAAAATTATATTAAATTTTTTAAAAGTATTTCCCAATAAAATTTGTGGAAAAAATGTGACAAAGGGAAATTTTGATATAAAAATTACTAAACTTTAAAAAAAACTTATGTGATATTTAGTATAATTACTAGCAACAATTCGCGAGCAGCTGACTTCTCACTCGATTTTTTAAATGAAAGTAGCAATTTTAAAAATAATAGAACGTAAAAACTTTTAATTCAAATTTTTTTTCAGGGAAAAGTCAGGAATTTTTATTAAAAGTACTTAAAAAAATTAAATGTTTAGAATTCATAAGAAAATTCTGAATTTTTGAGTCTTTTTGGTTTGCCTCATAAACTATGAAAATGACACGAATTCTAATACAAAACCTTTATTTTTTTACTTTCTGACAAAAATTTCTTTTTAAACAACTCAAATCTTGAACAACTTTCATAAAATAAATAAATTATTTAATGAATAATTTTACTTAAATGTTACAAAATTAATTCAATATTGAAAAGAGTTGCGTTTACACTTTTCATAAATAAATGAACTTCAAACGGTTTCAATTTGAAATTTTATAAATTTTCAATATATTGAATGAATTTAATTAGAAATTTTAATGAACTTAGATTTTTGAAAAAGTTTTATATTTGTCAATATATTTAATTAATTATTAACAGTAATATTAATTTATAGAAGAATTTTAGTTGTTTAGTATCATGCATTTTAATTGTTTATTAGGGGTAGTTCAATTTAATGATTTTCAATATCTACTATTTTAATAAAATTTTCCAAAAGAATTCAATTATTTAAACAAAATTTTAATAAAATTCTAGAAAAACATTTAATTATTTTAAAAAATAAAAATTTTCACAGAAATTCAATTATTTTCAAAAATTTTAGTAAAATTATTGTCGAAATTTCATTTACCTTTTTAAATAATAACATTTTTCTCTAAAATTCAATTATTTTCAAAAAATTTCCTCAGTTCAATGATTTTTAATATCTAATATTTTAATAAAATTTTCCAAAAGAATTCAATTATTTAAAAGGAAGTTTAATAAAATTCTACGGAAACATTTAATTATTTCCACAAATAATTATCTAACTTCTTTTTAGGAATTTAATTATTTTCATAACTAATGAAACTCATTGCAGAAATTAAATTATTTTCAGAAGTAATAAAATTCTTTGCAATAATTCAATTATTTCCAAAATTTAAAAAAATCTATTAAAATTTCAATTATTTTTAAAATTAATAAACTTTTTCTCCGAAATTCAATTATTTTCAAATATTTTAATAAAATTACTGTCAAAAATTCAATTACTTTTTTTAAATAATGAAATTCTTTTCTAAAATTCAATTATTTTCAAAAATTTTAAATATTTTGGTTAAAATGTCAATTATCTTTACAAATAATAAAATTTTTCTCCAGAATTCAATTCTTTTCAAAAATTTGTATAAAGTTTTTGTCGAAATTTCAATTATTTTCAAAAATTTCACTCAATTTAATGAATTTTATTTTAAAATCTTTTATTTAAAAGAAATTTTAATAAAATTCTACGGAAACATTTAATTATTTCCATAAATAATTAACTTCTTTTTAGGAATTTAAATATTTTCATAACTAATGAAACTCATTACAGAAATTCAATTATTTTCAGAAGTAATAAAATTCTTTGCAATAATTCAATTATT